AAACTGAGGGATTTGAGAGGAAGGAAGAATTTTACATGATTTTTTCTGTTCTTCCTCTTGATCCAAACAAAGGGAAAGTGATCTTTCCTTCTCTTCTCCTCACTCCTCTTCTCTTCTCTTCTCTCTTCTCCTCTCGTTGGCCTATCTTTTCTACTCTTCTATATTATTCTCTTCTCATCTACTATTTTATCATCTTCTCTTTACTTCTTTTCTCCTCTCCGCATCCACAGAGAGCCTTAAAGATCAGAAATTAGAGAAACTTTTTTTTTTGGTAAATACAGAGTGCAACATAGACGAAAAATTAGAACTTTAATGATCGAAAGAGAAGCCAACGTCGGATCCATGTCCAAGAGTTGAAGTTCCAACCATTCCCGGAACGAATTAGCCTTGAAGAAAAGCATGATACAAAAGTTCGGAGCGAGACCAACGTGATCCAACAAACCAACCTCGGAAACGATCCATCGATGGGCACGAACAACTCGAGCGCTGCGGATCGATGAGCATCGGAGATCGGCCGGATGCTGGCGGCCGCCGAAATGGACAGCAGCGCGGCGCAGATCAGAGCAGCAAACCCCACCACGAATCCAAGATTTCGCGCCATGCCCGGAAGAGGAGAGAGGAGAGAGGAGATCGAGGAGCCAGGCAGAGGACGAGAGACGAGGCCCCTCGATCGAACAGATGGAGAGCGATCCGGCGGCGTTTACCTGGAGCAGCGATCTCGAGTGCGGAGGTGACTCGAACAAGAGGAGACCCCTTCGGAGATCCTTCAAGGCGTCACACGAAGGCGGGCCCACCACCACGGGACGACTCTGTGAACCCTAACGATGACCGGCATAGGGTTTAATGTAAGATCACAAACATAATAATCATGGAAAGTTGCAAATAAATCCCTATTGAGTTAGTGATTTCCTTATTTGTTCTTTTAGTATTTATTTTAACATATATACCCTCCAAAAGTCGAAAATTAAAAACATCGACGGTCTTAAAACAAACCTATTAGCGGATCCGAAGCATCACGAACCCGACCCGCTCGAGAGAAGCCCAACCCGTGCTAGTTAACGCTGGATAACTTCAAGATTCTTAGATTAGGAACTGCTTAATAACACCATCTTAGCATTGTGGTTTAAGCTATCATTGATGCAAAGATAAATAAATTGTTCGAATATATATATATATATATATATATATATATATATATATATATATATATATATATATATATATATATATATATATATATCTTTTGCTTTTATATCTTTAAGTCAAAGTTGTCAAATGATGAGGACGGCAAAAACGTGCATGACTCTTCCAAGAGAAGATAACATAACATGGGACGCTGGGATAGCAGATCCGAGGACACTCTCCTAAACCGGATCGAGTAGTATTATACTTCTTTCCTTTCTCCTTTATAAGGAGTTCATGCATTCGATCTGTCTGGCTTTACAGAAGCTTCTGCTGTGGAGATGAGACTTGTTGCAGCCATGCCGGTTGTCTTCCTTCTCTTGACCTTCACCTTCGCCTTCTCTTTCCATGGCTGCTTCGTGCATGCAGGAGATCCTGAATTGTACTACGACTGGAACGTCTCCTTCGCCAAAGTGTCTCCTTTCGGAGTAGAGAAGAAGGTCAGAAATCTCTTCTCCTCCTCAAGATTGTTCTTCTTACTATACCATTGTTTCCTGAACCACGCACGCAACATGATGTGCAGGTTATCGTGATCAATGACCGGTTGCCAGGACCTCTCCTCAACGTGACGACCAACAACCTCGTTAGCGTCAATGTCTATAACTATCTCGACGAGCCTTTCCTCCTCACATGGTACGTGCATGGTTGATGCACACCTGCATTAATCTACTGATCTGCGATGCTCATCTTTGTTGTAGGAATGGAGTGCAGATGAGGAGGAACTCGTGGAACGATGGAGTGCCAGGAACGAACTGCCCGATACCACCGGGGAAGAACTGGACGTATCATATGCAGGTCAAGGATCAAATAGGCAGCTTCTTCTACTTCCCTTCTCTCGGCTTTCAGATGGCCGCCGGTGGCTACGGGCCCATCCGCATCGACAATCGTGTCATCATACCCATCCCGTTCAGCTTCCCGCAAGATGACTTGGATATCTTGATTGCAGATTGGTACGACATGGATTACCAGGTCTCTTCTCCACTTCATCTTCTTTTCCTTCGCCTTATATTCCTTTCAACAAGACGGTGATATGCTCCTTGAGCAGGACATGAGGGATGCTGTCGATCAAGGTTTTCCATTATCATTGCCTGATGGGATTCTTATCAATGGGTTGCCACCCGAGAAAGCAAATTTCACGTTTAAATCAGGTAAAATAACTTATAAATTAACTGATTACTACAACTGGATAGATCTTCATCAACACTGTGGTTCTTCCATGTTTTGCTTTGCTCACTGCACATAATTGCGTGCATCACAGCTGAGATGTCTCACCGGAAACCAGATCTTATGATTCTCTCTGGTGTCTGAACAAGTGAGAATCGTGATCTTTGCGTTCTGGCAAGTCGACTTTGATGCTTCACGGACACTGCTAACTTTGTGTTTCTTGTATGCACACACTCACGTACAGAAGGGAGATTAAGAGCACATGAATGTCGTTCATTCGAATGATCTTATATTAGTCATGCAGATCCAAAAGTACACACAAGGAAAAAGTAGGAAGAGATTTAGGAAGCTTCGTTAATTGGGATCTCTGTCCTTGGGATCGCAGGGTTTACTTGTATCACCTTGTTTCTTGCAATGTGGAAACACTTACCGAGAACAAAAGCATTGATTGAAATCAGAGCATACTTCTAATATAAGCGTATTCATCAAGAATAACACCATGCTTAAGGAGGATCAGATACTCCCGGATGTTTTAGGTACATAGGCGTTGACTTTTCTTCTTACTTGGAGCATTAGCTACATCGGTAATCGTGCCGATAAAATAATATCGAGCATTTAATGGTTGATTAAGTAATGCCTTATTCTGATCCACTACAAGTCGGCCATAAGAAGATGTGACGAATCGTTTACTTTATAGCCTGGTCAAACATTGTCAACTGAGTCGAGATCTCAAATCTAATAGGCGAATAGATCTAGCATTGGTCAAAAGGGGTTGACCAAGACTGTGTAAGATAAATCGATATATATGACTTCTTATTATTGCTATTCAAACTATGCAAGATTTATATGACTTCTTACGTTCATGCTCACGAAAATTTGTATCGAACATATAATCGAGCTATCTTGAAGAATCACAATGAGGCTGATCCTGGCACGAATCTATTGTCATTGAATACAGGAGCTACGTACCGGCTAAGGATCTCAAATGTGGGCATCAAGACGACTCTCAACTTCAGAATTCAAGGTCACAAGATGCTACTTGTGGAGACCGAGGGATCCTACACCCTCAAACAATACTACGACTCACTCGATATCCATGTTGGCCAATCTTACTCGGTGCTTGTCACGGCCGATCAGCCTCCGTCCACCTCGTACTACATCGTCGCATCGTCGCGCTTCGTCGAGCTCGATCTATTTGGCGTTGCTATCATCAACTATGACGATGGTTCGAACAAGAAACCTTCCGGTGGTATACCGGAAGGGCCATCACCGTTCGACTACAACTATTCGATGGAACAAGCTCGTTCCATTAGGTCGGAGCTTTTTGGGTGCATCGTCTTACTCGTTCTTAACATACCTCTCTTCATCTTCTACTTGGTGATCATCACAGGTGGGATCTAAAAGTTGGGGCTGCTCGTCCGAACCCGCAAGGCTCGTACCGCTACGGTCACATCAACATCTCTCGGACGATCGTCTTGCAAAATGACGAAGTGATGATCGGTGACAGGACTCGGTACGCTATAAACGGCGTGTCGTTCGTGTACCCCGACACGCCTTTGAAGCTGGCTGACTACTTCGGAATTCCCGGCGTGTTCATGGCCGGTGAAGTCCCCGACGAGCCCAGCGGCCGCAAGCCGACAATCGGCACACCGGTGGTCGACGCCATCTACAAAAGCTTCGTCGAGATAATCTTTCAGAACAATGAGTCGTCGATTCAGTCATGGCATCTGGATGGCTACAACTTCTTCGTCGTCGGGTGAGATTTTTGTTTCGACACGATGCGTATTGTTGTCTCGGTAGGTTGATGCGATCCAACAATGCTTAGTATTTGGTCACTCGATGTTGAAGCATGGAGGAGGGGAAGTGGAACTTTTGCTCGAGGTCAACGTACAATATGGTGGATGCTATCTTTCGCTCCACCGTTCAGGTAATTATGCATTCATTATTATGTTTAGAAGAAAATATTTGTCATACGCTTCAACACGTTGTCTTTGTCGATTGATAGGTGTATCCAAACTCATGGACGGCAATTTTGGTGGCCTTTGACAACATGGGGATGTGGAACATTAGGTCTCAGGAATTGGAGAGGAGGCAGCTGGGTCAAGAACTCTACATGCGAGTCAACTGGGATGACGCTAACAACAACACTGTTCCGAATCCTCGAGACGAGATGCCCTTCTCCCCCGACCTTCTTCTCTGTGGAAAAGCTGCTGCTCGTTCCGGAACGCCGTAAATCTCACTTGATTTGCGTACCTATTAACAATCAAACATGTATCTCTTATTTGTCTTTGTTTCCGATTTGTGTACTACTTGAATGCTGTTGGTACCACAAGAGGAGTGATTATGAGAAGACTCCTGCATTCATCATTTGCTTTATATTCCTTTAAATATAAATATATTCTCGTCATTTCATGTCAAGATTATTATGTCTATAAACAGTTCATATACATCTTCGAACCAAATCCTATTGTTAGTTTATGTTAAGAATACTCGACCGAAAGACGAACGAAAACGAAAACGAAACGGCGAAGGAGAAAGGTTGAAGTTCATCTCCTGTGTCATCATGGTTAAGGTAATCATCATCATCAATTGAAATGACAAGAAAATGATCATCCGAAGCAAGATCGAAAATTATGGGAACGGACTGTAACTTCCATGCACAATTATTCATTCAAGTTCTTTGCACTAACAAATCAATCCACAGCGTCATCTCTCTCCTATGCTCTAGGATTAGTACACTTTGAGTTTACATAAGTTCTCCTTCAAAGGAGCTATAAGGTACACTCATAATGGTATATAGATGTTCTTTACAAATAGCAATTCGGTGATGAGCACGGAATTAATCCATAGTTTCATGACATCTTTGAACAAATAGCTCTTCGCTATTTCAAATGCTTTTACAATGACACATGTCTTTTCACGGTCACCAGATCTGAAAGAACATCTTGCACTATGGTCCAAGAAAAATCAAAGCTGGCGGAACCATCGTTCCTCAGGATTGCTTTCTCAATAGACTAAAAAGTGAGGTGCTTTGAGAAACTCCATGTCCACCTGCGGGAATCTTGCCTCTGGCATCCTGTCAATCGATGGTAATTTAACAAAATATTGAGCCAAGTATACTCGATAAGATACTGACTCTAGTCTGAAAAATAAATATGGGGCATCACTATTATCAAATTCCTTTTTTCTTGTTCCACTCATCAGAAAAATAATGAGATAAGTGCATTGATCCCACCCAAATTAAATACCATCTCCTAAAGTTTTGAGTAACGCACCCCATTTGCAGCCTCCATGTCTGGACCAGTTAATTCCTTCAGTAGCATGGCTGATGCTGGAAGCAACTTCCTACAGATAAAATATAGTGAAATGAAAATACTTTAATCAGTGAGATTTTGAGTTATAAGATTAATCTTGATAGACAGGCAAAGATGAGATCAACCAAAAGTGTTAGCCAGCTTAAACACCTCTAAATTGCCTCCTTCCAAGAGAGCTTAGTCTTTGTATAAAAGATTATATGTAAGTGGAAGCAATGCAAGTACAACATTAATATTGTTGCATATGCTTTAGATCACATTTGCTTTGGCAAAAGAAAGCTTCAGCTAATCCAGATTACTTAGCTGGACTAGTAACCAAACATAAGAAGTTAAAATTAATTAGTCGGGTTAAGATAATCTAACCCTTGAAACCTGGCTATTTTAACCACTAAACAGCTTTTGACATCAAGAAACCAGCTTGTGCAAAACAACAGATAGTCCCAATCTGTTAGCAATAGTGGCATTTAAATAACAAACCTCTTTGGTTTCTCAGCATTTGAAGATTTGAACAAAGGACCATTTTTTTCTTTTAAGACTTTACGGACATGATATTTGTCATTTGATTTCGCATGCTGTACACGTGACCGATCTGAATCTGGCGACTGCCAAATAAGAATAACCAGGAATTAATTGATGCATAAAACCAGTTGGTAAATGAGTATTGTTTAAATAAATAAACTACTTATATTATCCTATTGATAAAGAATACCAACAAACAAACTATCAAAGATTAAAAGATAAGTTTCTGAGGTAGAGTGAAAATTTCAAATTGGAGATGTAAGCAATGATTAACTGGCCAAAGTCAGGCCTCAGCAAGTCTTTCCATTCTAAAACCAGGACTTGCTACTCTGATTTACACAACAAGCATTCACCAGTCAAGTCAATTGCGTACATGCCAAATTTGCAACCACACATTTTGACAATCTCATTGCATTTGTTTTAAGTAGTTCCATGAATGATTACTGCTTTGATGTTGAGTATTATCACCAACTAATCTCACAGCACTGAGTTTCCAGTTCAGCATGAATAAAACTAATGCACAAATAGGAAGTTTTAGCATGAGACACATTACATGGATCAACTGCTTAGTTTTTTAATGCCAAATTGCCCAAATACTTATCTAGAAAAACAACAAGGACAGGAAACATGAGGGAGTCTAACCGTTCCATTTTCTTTCAGATTTGTGACTTTCTGAACTGATGATGATGATGAAATATTTATGTCATCCACCATGCGCAAGCTATCTAAAGAACTTGAGCTTCCATTACAAATGCCTGTTAAGAAAATGTGTACTTCATAAAAGATGTTATTGCTTAACAAAATATAAAAAGATTAATAATTTAATGAGACAAAAAGAGCCACCTGATTTATCTAACTTAGTTGAGGTTCCTTTAGAGCCAAAATCTGAAAGTCCATTGAAATCCTCTTGTACAATTGTTCTTCCAGGCATATTTTCAGGTATCTTGTCTATCAACTATGGAGTAAGGGAGCACCAAAAGAAAATTAATTATAGTGTGCCACAATTGTAATAAACAAGAAATACATAAATTCATGGTCATTAACCACAAAGCAAATATGCAGCCGTACAGGACAAGAAACAGAAGATTTCTTCATTAAAGTTAAAAATAAGAATTTCAACTACAGAACTGCATGATAAAAGGTTCAGTAACTATAGATGTTAATCTTTCTATTTTTATAACATACTAATTATCTGCAATAGAGGACAGATCTTAGTACAACGGTAATGTTGTTACTTTGTGAACTTAGAGATTAGGTTCGAGTCACGGAAACAATCTCTTTATAATTAGAGTTAAGATTGTGTATATTGACCCTCTTCAAATCCCACAATGGTGGGAGCCTGACACACGGGTACGCCCCTTTTTATTAATTATCTACAATAAAAAAACTAAGTAATATCATCTCCCATAGAATAATAATTGTTTGACCCATCTCTTAATGTAAAGATCATTTAGCATTGCAATTCTAAAAGGTAATGGTGCAAAAAGTGGACTATCAACAAATAAGGGAAGAAGATGAATAGCCAGTCTAGAGCTCATCAACCATCTACATACAATGCCATAAATAAAACTGGAACCAAGTTACTTCACATGCATTATAGATGAGAACTCATTCATAAACTGTAAATTCCAGCTTGGCAAGGCATGAGTCGTTTGCTCAAAATATGCAGCGAATGATAATAGTTTTTTCTTCTCTATGAACTATTTTTGATGCACAACTAATGAAGGACATATGTATTCAACACATCTACCGATGATAGATGTATGTGGAGATTCACCACATCAGTATCTTTGTTGCCTGTCAAAAGTTGAAATTCATATCAAATTCGAAGAATCACCAGCTTATATAATTCATCAACTGAAAATGAGACCAAAGTTTGCTACTGCATAACTATTTATTAAACTTGTAATATCAAATCTGGTTCGAAACTGTTCCAATCTCATTTAGTTTCCAAAGTATAATTCTTTCCTGGGGTTTCCTACTCTTTCAGATCTGAAGGATGCAGCAATGCTGAGTAAGAATTGCACTAAATTATTGTGAAAATTGACTAGTAAGTGAATTTACTAAACAACTCGAGCTGGATTGTTGTTTACTTTTTTTCCATTTGCATAGGAAGTTGCACTCAAAATGCATGCATTAATACATATATGGGTAACTATAGCGTGGGAAACATACTACACATTGATTATTATTTTCTCGATAATAAAGTGCCCATATATGCATAGGTTAAAAAGAACAACAAAGAAAATGAATGCAGGAGATCTAACCCCTTCATTTTCTTTTAGATGTGTGATTTTCTCCACTGATGAAGATGAAACATTAATGCCATCCACCATGCATAAGCTATTCAAAGAAATTGCGCCTCCATAATCAATGTCTGTTAAGAAAATCATGTGTAGTTCATAAGACTTTGATGCTTGTTCAAGTTAATAATAATATCATTAATACAGTCAAGAAAAACAAAATCAACCTGATTTATTTAATTTAGTTAAGGTTCTTTCTGCACCAAAATCTGCAGGACCCTTGTAATCCTCAGGGACGAGTGTCACGCCAGGTGAATTTTCGGGCACTTGGTCTATCATCTGTGGCATAAAACAATATTACACAGTAAGAACAGGTTCGGGGCGTAAATCTAATACCATGTTGAAAAGAAAAGCTTGAACCACAGTACTGCATGATAAAAAAAATTAGGAACCTTTAGATGCTAACTTTTTAAAATGTTAATCATGAATTTTCAGCAATATTTGATTATTGTCCAGAACGATCTCTCACAAAATAATAATTATCCTATCTATTTCTTAGTTCAAGATCGTGTAATCTAACTTTAATAGGTCACTATGTAAAACTGCATTATGAGCAAGTTAGGCAGATGAATAACCAGTCTAGAGCTCATCGGCCATAGTAAAAGCTGGAAGCAAGTTAAGACAAGTCAATACTGGTAAATTGGAATGAACCAGCTAGGGGGTGGTACAAACTTAATAGATGGCACAATGAAAAAGATCCACAAAGAAGAAGTAACTTTCACATCATAAAAGTAAGTTGCATATCACCTTATTGTTCAATGATATTTTTTAACATTAAGCCTCAGTAAGAGCCAAAATTATGAAAAATCTTATTTATTTTGTCTATGTCAGATATATGTTTCAAGTCAACTAGGAAAACAAATCAAACATTGACTTGTAAAAGTTATTTCAGAATTTAAAGGAATAACAAATGTATGGATAAGGGATATATTTGGAGTCAAGGAACAATGTCAACAATTATTCAGAAAATGAACCTGTAGTGGATTCTGGAAAATAAAATTGAAATGATGCAATTTGAGGAAATAATCTTTAACACAAGGAAAAACTACATACAAACTTGGAGAAAAAATATAGCAATATACAAGTGTGACATGAAGAGCCATACCTTTGGAGAACCCCTATCATGAAAAGCTGAGTCAATATTGCTTGAGTTAACTTGATATGAAGGTGTTGCCAGCCGTGTTCCGCAACAATCAAGCAGAGGTTCCCCTTGAGCACTACTCAACTCTCCCACATGAGGAGCTTTATGGCATGAACAATGGGACTTCAGTTCCTCAAGTTCTCTCTTAAGTTCTAATCGTTGGATCTCATCCTTTTGGAGGATTTCCCTAAGACTAAGCACGTTTTTTTCTGACTCCTAATGGCAATGCATAATCTTTAATAGAGGGAATCATAGGTGCATAAAAGACTAAGATATTCCAAGAAAAGATAGAAGTCATTGTCGTTAATAAATTTAACAGAAATATGTTAATATTAACAATGAACATATCAGAAACAATCTAGGGAGTATATAGAAACAACAGCTAAATAAAGGAGATGAAATTGATGTTTCACTTTTTAGTGAAATGCTCCTTGACTGAGTCCATAAAATTCGCATGATTTGGTGCAACAGGCAAAAGAAATTTCAACCACCCTAAAATTATATCAATGCCCATATATGAATAAATCAGAGAAGTAATTACCATAAGTTTCTCTTTATACTGCTTTAGAACATTCCATAAAGCCTTCGAAAAATTCCTCATAATTTCTTCTTGTCTTGTCATTTTTTGCAGCTCAATATAGAGGGCGCCTTTCATGGGTGTCTCCATTGTTGCAGGTTCAACAATCTTTGAAGAAATTGAGGAAGATTGTGGTATTCCGATCTCCTGAAGCTTCTTCGAACTAGCATCTATAAGCCATCAGTAGCTTACAAGGATAAATATAGACGAAACAAATCGGGAGAACATACTAACTATTTAGACTAATCATAACTCATAAGTATTTGGGTCCACAATAGATGAATGAGAAGATTATTCAAATCAGAAGTATTTTATTAACCTTTCTTGGATGCTTTAATTCCAACATTTCCATCACTACCATGTATTCCTTCATCATCCTGCAATAAAAGAAATGGGAGCAAAAAATGTTAGGATGCCTGAAGACATTTAATGATTTTATCCATCAAAGTTAGAATGGCATCAATAAATATAAACTTTCAATAACGAAGGAACAAGAATTAGATGACATAACCAGGATAATTCAGGAACCTTGACTGAACATTTATTCAAGCACACAGAATACAAAGGGTCATTATTCATGGACCTAAGATTCGTTAGCACAAAGGTACTCATTTATAAAACTATCACAAAAATCAAGTTTAGTGACATTCAATAGTTATGTAAAAGAAAATTCAGATAAAGAAATAGTCAAAGAGAATGATTGCAAGGAAGGAGATTACAGCAGCATTCGACACTATAAAGAGGATTAATAATCTTCAAAAAAATAATGGTACTGTTGACAAATAAAATGTTTAGCTCTTTTTGCCAACTCATGTGATTTAGATGGTGTCTGATAACACTTAATGCAGTCTTTCACAAAGCAAATATTCTCAGTCATTAAATTAAAAGGATGGCAAAATCAGATGAAATTAGGTTCTTAATAAAAAGAAAAAGTACCAATGAAGTTTTAGATACATTGGTCTTCCTCCTTTTATGATGATCTACTTTAACAGGTGAAGTGGTACTTCTTTTTCGATTAGGTAAGCTTGACATATCTTCAAGATTGGTAAACCTGAAAATGTAAATAGCAGAAATTTTAATTTATTTATAGAAAACAAAAATGGTGCAATAAAAGAATATTTGAACAGTTATGTACCAGAAATGAATATCACCAAAGTATTTTCAGATTTCAATCGCTTTATTAGCAGCTTATTGTTTACAACAGTCAACTAAATATCAGCCCAACTATCATAAAGTTATGCTAGCATCACAAATCACAACTATTCTATATTCACTGAAGAAAGAATCAAAGTGAGATAAACTGTAATCTAGACAATTGTGACTCTCATAAGGAATTCTATGATTTCAATAGTTTGCAATCTAATTGTGGGAAAAAAAAAAGGTAACAGCTCATATGTGATGGCCTCCCCTTCCGCAATTCCCCCTTGCTCCCCACCACCCTCTTTGGATCCACCCCCACTCGTTCATGATCCTCAAAACCACTTCAATCTCGACCTCCCTCTCTCCTGCTGCCCTGGCCTCTCTCTCATATGATCTGTTACAAACAACTTCTAAAACTTCCATGTCTCTCTCCTAGGCTGGTCTCTTTTGACAAGCTCACGGCTTGTCCTCTTGGAAGCCTAACACCACCATAGAAGCAAAAATCCTAAAAGATTCAAAGCAGCTCTCAGCTCATTTGCAGCTCCAGCAGGGAACAAGTACACAAAGCAGGGTATACCGGTTGGTACAGGAATGGTATACACGGTCCCAACCAATACCAATTTGGTACCATCAGGACAGGACCTGTACCGGGTGGTACAAGCCCAATACAGGCCCTGTACCAGAAGTAACCATAGCAAAGCCATTGGGTAGGTACTGTTGGTGGGTATTTGAGAGGCTATAAAATGCTCCCAAAACCCCCAAATATGCCCTCACTCTCACCCATTCTTTTTCACCCTCATTCTCACTCTAATCTCTCTCAAAATTCACTTAACTTTCTTACTCCCTTCAAAAGTAATTGAAAATCATAACGGAAATTTGCTTTTTCCAAGAACAACAATAACAACAAGATGCATGGATCAATTATTTGACAAGATATAGAGATTGATAAAGATATTATTCATAAAGTGAAAATATGATGGTTAAAATAGCGAGGAGTGTCAGAAATCTTGTATGATCATCAGACCTCTGAGATGAAAAGAAAAATTATATAAGATAATTATGAGACTAACATTGTTTTTTGGATCTGAGTGCTGGATAGTTAAGAAACAACATATACAAAAATTTTGTATTATCAAGATGAAAATATTAAGATGGATGTGTAAAGTTACTAGGAAAAATAGAAAAAGATGATAAAATAAGAAAAAATCGTTTAAAATAATATAAGCATATGCTTATAAGACCTCCGGATGTGATAGACAGAAGAGGTGAAAATGTTAATAATACGAGGAGAGGTAGAGAAAGACCTAAAAAGATTTTAATAGAAACTATAAATAAAAATTAAGTATTTTGAACTTAACTAAACATATAACTTTTTATAGATCTCAATAGTAGTAAAAGATCCATGTAGTCAACCATCTATTTTTACTCTATGAATAATTGCTTTTCCTAAGAAGAAGACAATCAAGATTTGGTCCATGTTTTTACTCCGGATGTGGTAGGCAGAAGAAGTGAAAATGTTAATAATATGAGGAGAGATAGAGAAAGATCTAAAAAAACTTTAATAGAAACTATAAATAAAAATTTAAGAATTTTGAACTTAACTAAACATATGACTTTTTATAAATCTCAATGGTGGTAAAAGATCCATGTAAACCCCAAATAGTTGAGACTTAAGGCTTTATTGTTGTCGTTGTTGTTCTTAAGAAAATTAATCTTTCCAACACTCAGATCCATAAAGTATTGTTGATCTCACAAGTGTCTTATAAAATCTTTCTTTTAATCTCAAAAATATTCGATGATCACACAAGACTCCTAATGCCCCTGACCATTTTAACCATCTATTTTTACTCTATGAATAATTGTTTTTCCCAAGGAGAAGACAATTAAGATTTGTTCCATGGTCTATTCAGATCAAGGTAATTCCAAGCCTAATCTCTAGGATTTAACATGCAATTAGGTTAGAGTTTATGTTTATTCTTGCATGCTTAGACTAAATTTCAATGTTTAGATTTAAATCATGGCTCAATGTTATCTCTACATTTTGGTTTATCTATGCTACATCCATAAGAATCAAGCCTAGATCTGATTAGATTTAGCTTAGATCTATCCTAACCTAGGTTTGATATAGTCGAATTTAGTTTAGATCTTCATGGATCTAGCTTAGATCTTCGCAGATCTAGGATAGATCTGAATGGGTCGAGGTTTGATCATAGTAGGTCCAGCTCAGATCAAACAAAATGTAAGCTTCATCCATTCAGATATAGCATTTATTTTCCTGGATCTAGTCGTAATTTTGGAAATATAATGAATATGTGGATCTGAACATATGTTAACTCTTGTCGCAGATAAATGCACTGAAGCCAGCAAAGTTCTAATCCCGAATCATAGCATACATGTCACTTGGAGGCATGAAATCATTAATAGGACATTCATTGCGACTACGTTGATCGGGTGGAGGAATAATGTAATTGAAGCAACATTTGGCTGGTCGATTTTCCACCATAGCGAAGTGCACAAATGTGCCCCAAGAGATCAAGAGGGCCATCAGAGCACTGAAATGCACTATGTTTGTAGAAGGCAACTTAGGAGGTATCTAATAGACTTACTACAGAGCTGTAGGTGTATGATGAGTACATCAGTCATGGTAATGATGTCAACCCAGATGTCAGTGTTAGTATACGTTCTTCCGTACAGCACCAACACATGTATGAGGAAAGCATGAGATAGACCGACAGACCTGCTGTTTAAGTATGATAGTGGCAATGGTCCAACTTAGTTTAGCACATTAGTGAGGGAGACTACTTGTACCAGTGCACATGGATTGGGTACAAGTTCCACCGTGAGGCAGTAGACTAGCCCTTCTCAGTTTAGCAAGACAGCTAACATACACAGTCCAGCCTATGGGACTTTATTAGAGGATTTGACAGAATGGCAGCTCTTTGATGTAGTTGATCTGGATCTTGCTGCAAGCCCACCACAGAGAAAAAAACATGGATAAATGATGCATACAAGAAGGAGAAAAGGATAGAAGACTCCCATCTATCGGTCATTGACTCACATCATTCATTTTGGTGGTGGGAGCACTACAATGAGTTCAATCCAAGATACAATACCTATATCAGTATGGATCCAAATAGGTATATGTTTTTGTTTTACATCTCATTTATCATTTTATATTCTAAGTTTAGTTTAAAGTTGTCTAAATTGATTGTATATAACTAATAAAGTGTAAAAAAAGGCCTCAAATAGGTCTTTTTTATTCCAAGCCTTTTTTAAGGCAAATATTGAAATATGGAACATATCAATGTATCGAGCGTCACTACACTAGTATCAAAAATATCAAAACAATTGCCTAAAGGGAACAAACAATGTGGGCAATTTCACTTATAATGCAGGAAACTCTCCAGTTTAGCTAGTACAAGACATTTTTAAATGTTGTTCATTTTGAATTCAAAGGAAAATAGTACAACAGAGCTTTCTTCCAACTAAAGGAAATGGGATGCGATGAAAAAAGAGGTCATTGGCTTTGGCAAACAGAAACAATAAGAAAACAAAAGTTAATAAACAAATAAAGCCCATCACTCTTAAAACAACATCAGGCTGAAAAAAAGCATCTCATTTTGAAAGTAACAGACCCAATAAGATAGTTCAGAGACCTCCAAGATTTGGGCCCTTAATCACACAAATTTTCCCATTAAAAGTGGCCAACTGAGTTGATCATGAAACTCAACTCAAACTTTTCTCAGAACATTATAAACCTAGTTGTATGCTTAAATCGAGTGAATTTTGATGGGGAAAAACTTAAATGACATTGATGATGGATTTGCCAAATAATCTTTCCTACTACTCACTATATTTGCAATTGGAATCCATAGAGATAACAAGAAATAAAAGCACAATCATGCTGGACTTGCTGATTAGATATAAAAAAAGAAAAAAATGTACTTCCATCCAACCCATTTTTCTAACTTATGAACATGCTAATATTTATTCAACACAACATGGGGCAATATTTATTCAAGGACAACCATTTCTTCAATGAGAAAAGTCAAAAGAACAATCAACGAATTGTAGCCAAAATATATCACTTGAACCGTCAATGTGCATGTTTAAACATCTAAAAAAAACATCATTTGGTACGAATTATGAAATCAAAAGCAGCTTAAAGAAATAAATTGAAACCAAATGTATCAAAAAATTGACACTGAATGTTTAGTTGAACGGAGGAAACAAGACATACTTGATTTTCATGTAAGGTGATGCCTGCCTCAGTAAAAATGATGTGTCTGCATAATCATCTTCTCCAGGTTTTACCATCAAGATCTGCAAGACAAAGCACTTCCTTGTCCAATTATATGCTCTTAAGGCTACCACTGGTTAATAATGTGCCCCGAACCATAATCCAACAGAAATAATAAAGTTAAAGATATTTCTTATCATGATAATCTGAGCTCATTTAAGAACATATAGATACATTTTTTCGGTGATAAACATCATCAAACAATCTTTTATAATTTGTTGACCTGTAGGAGAAAGGATGTCTGTCAAGAAATTGATCTCTACACTTTGCTAATGGATGCTACAAGCTAAATAGGTAAAACCCAGAAATAACATGCTTTGGAAATCATGGACAGAAAATCATATAACAGGTGCATGCCCTATGCAAATCTGTGTTGTATGCAATTCTATTTTCAATTCTCTGATTTTTTTTCAAGGAATATATAGGGACAAAAACAATAAGAGTTGCTGTGAGCAGACAATTTTATAAGATACTGGTGTCAGACAATCTTTGTGTCTATGTTGAGGAACTCGATTTCACCTGGACTGTTCAATACTGGTCTACGCATGAACTGATATGTACCACCCTATTTTAGGTAGTCTGGTCTGATCCGAATTCAAAAAAGTGGGATTTAATTTTTTGAAGGCCTAGATCCCTTAGGGCTCATGATCTCGAAGACCTCTCCCTGTTCTCATTGCCCAACCATTGTTGTCCACTATCACCAGCCTCTTTTATGCTACCTCTCCTACTCCGATTCCACTACCACCTCCTCTCTTCCTTCTCTCTCATCGACCAGTACAAATCTAGTATCTGAATTTGCATTCCTTGGTCTATATATTCTCTCTAATTCTCACTGAGTTTTTGCAAGACCTGAACAAAGAGCACTGCAAAAACTAAAAGCCTACAATCTAATAACAACCAGTCCCCCATTATGTTCTCTGAATAATGGTTTGTTTTAGGAACAAAGCCACAAATATTGTCTTTTGTTTCTTCATTTCATTTTCTATTTTTCTTGGTTGTTAAGACCCCAAATAGTTGGGACTTACCGCTTTGTTGTCGTTGTCGTTATTGTTGTATTTTTCTTGGTTGTTAAAAACAAAAATCATACTAAAGCGCTGAACCACTTTGGCTAGTAAAGATCTTGACCATCGCTGGTAAGGTTCTGGGATCAATTCCCACTTCATCACTTGCAAAGTTGGGTATAAAAAATACCATATCACATTAAGGAGCATTCATGTGGTGATCATCAAGTTGACAACCCAATATAGCATTGGACTTGACCAAGACTAGGAACAATTCTGAAAGGATACATGAAAAGGAAAACTTTAATAGCAATATTAAAAGTGAATGCAGGTTTTTCCCTTGAATATATTCAATAAAATTAGTTCATACTAAATGTTTCATCATCAAGCCTCACTAAGATAAGCTTTTGTTATCATGCGACAAGCAATCAACTAGCATATTAATGTGGGTCTAAATTCATTGGAAAATTGAAGGAGTGGGCGCATGCAAACCACATATCATATCTTAAACAGTTAAATAAAGTAAACAGAAGCTTAAAAGTCAACTTATTTCAATACATAGCATACCATAAAAAGGATTTTTTGACTTCTGTGAATGATAAGTTTCCAACAAGAGTAGTATATTGGAATAGAAAACTATAAGATTTGATCTGAACACAGAGTTGAGTTTCATACCAGAGTCATACATTTTTTGCCCTCCATATAATCTCTCAAGTACCTGGTCAACTATGGACCAAATAGTTGAGTTAGACTTTCTGTAGAAGGAAATTTCCAAAGGAAAAAATATAATAGGCACAGACAAGCATTTAGGAAATCATAGTCATAGCTTTTGCTGAATTGTGAAGTTGCATATTGGTTCATGAACAAAGAACACGTTGGGGGACCATGCACTTCTACTACCTTCTTGTACAGAACCACATATATGATGACTTACTTGCATTTATCATTCTACAACAAGCATATTGGCCTTGTGCATGATCAAATTGTGTCCATAAAATGGAACATACCAGTGAGTTCTTGAAGTGCTTCTCTATTGGCTTCCTTGGATTCCTCTGATGTTCAAGCAAAGCCTGGAAAATGAGAAGTATAAAAGAAATTTGAAAATCAACCTCCATTGTATTTTAAGATTATCTAACCATACTTGTTTTTATAAAGTTTCTAAGGAAAAAAAAATTAAAAGCAACCTACTCTTAAACATAGACCAAAAACCATTGATGTGTTGTTAATGAAATTGCTTTCCAGTAGTCTTGCACCCTAAAAGACACAAACAAAAGACAATTTCCAGTTATACATATGCTATATGAAACACAATGGACCAATTACTCATCATCACAACATGAGAAGGCTGTCCCATATAATAGTTTCGAGAATCTAACAAGAGAGGCATGTATTTTATTGACAAATAATGATATAAGTACAATGACAACTACAACATAATAAATTTCATCTGTCGAACATAAATCAGGTCCGACGCAAACCTAGCCCTCTTAAACCATGCAACCGGAAATAGATACAGAATCAATCCAGGAAATATTTTTTTTAATTTCGTTTTTGGAGTAATTTTATAAGTTTAGGGTTTCTTTTTCGCGATTGTAATGTCACTGTACAATATGGTTTTGTAAACATCACTAGCTGTCACATGGCATTATCTTATGCATTTTTACATATCTAACAAGGTTGTCCAAGAAGAATAAAAGCAAGCCAAGTTAAAAATGGAAGATGATTGAAAACATAGGTTTGACTGAATATACTCTTCAGGGAAACCCATACAAATAAAATATCATGATAAAAAAAGCTCATCTACCAAAGCAAAAATGGATGTGAAAACACCTTACAAATGGAAGATGAGTGATTGACCTTGAATCAAAGGATATGATTTAGTGAAATGCACTTTCCATTTTTTAGTTTTTGCTTATCTAATACTTAGGGTGTATATTGACATATTGCGTCTGAAATGATGACCAAATCAACGATATTTATTATTTCCTGGATTATGTGTGAGGAGGTCTAGGGCCTTCATCCTATGAGTGATTCGCAGAGCCAGAGTGATTCTGGTATTTACCCCAAATGATCTGGCTCCATGATGTATATGTGATGCAAATATATTGTGAGGTCAGGATCCTTAAGAGTGATGCCTAGGAACCAAAGTGAGTCCAAGTACTATCCTTTCCCTTCCATAGCTCTTCGATATTCTCAAATCCTAGAAAAACAATATATTTTTGTTTTCCCTACTCTTATCCTACATAAATTTCGACATCACAGTACTTGTCCATCTAGGAGCCTGATAAAACAATCAATAATCACAATTTTTTGATAAAAGATTAGTAGTTAGTTTTTTTTTCCTCAGTGGTGCACTACTCAGAGCTACTGGAGGATTCTTTTAAGCATTATAAAATTTGCGACCTATGGTGACTTGTTTATTTTTTTTATTTCAGCAATATTAGGTTATAGTGATTGGTTGCGCTTTTTGGCCATTGTTCAACCTTGGGGTGTTCCACTCTCTCCATTCCTCTTTCTGTCTTTTGTTTTATCCTTGCATGTTAACATCCAAACATAACTCAAAGCTTATTCCATTATTTTCTTCAACCATCTAAAGTTCAAGGTTCACAGGATCTGGTCCAATTTTACATCAGCTAAGGGATTTCAGGTAAGATCAAGCCAGGTCAACCTATTGATACACTAAACCAGAGTTTCCAAAATATGCTGGAATCAGTTCTGGTATGGCATGTATGTATTGCTCATTATCCATTAGCTGTTTTATGAAATTAGCTTCCTAACCTGAATCATCCACATTAGCAAACAGAGCAAATGGTCAATGTCTTCATCAGACTCGCTAAACTGTAGCCTAGCACACCACAAAAAGTGGGACAATTGAAACGTGACACGGAACCTCTTTTTTTACATGACATGTAACCTAACCGGGCAGCATTAAATATTCCTAAATGTCATCTGTAGCCACTTTACTGATAATGGTAAAAAGAACCTGTATTGGTAGTTTTCTTCCTATTTACCAACTTAAACATTAAAATAATCTGAAGCCACAGGAACCCACTAGCTCAACAAAATCTTACACCTATTACTTACAGAGTTGGTTTAACAAATCCCATTCAAGACAACCCCCAACAGCAAATAACTTGAAGGCTTATTCTCTTTTTAATCTTCCAGAGTCCAGCTACTTGCACTATTTTTTTTATTCATCATTTCCATGATGCCAGGCACCAGTTGCTATGGTACAACTCCACTAATACAGTAGCAGTTGCAAAGGAAATAGACAGCCCTGCAAATGTTGGTTGAAAGTGCTGCTTCTGCGCCTTTTGTTGGTATTGGTTGGAGCAGACAGATGACTATTGAACCACCTAAATAACCATTAAGCACCTAGAGAGTCAATAGAATAAAGCTGCCAGATTGTCACCTACACCACTTGTAATGGTTTTCTTACTATGAACTGTAGAGTTTCAGAACAACACCAAAGTGCAACTATGTTTGTGGTTAACAAAATCCTAAATTAAGTATTGATATCATGAAGGAAAAGAAGAATTACTGCGAGTTGGGAATATTTGTGTACTGGTGTTTATTTAGTACTCTTCATATTTTAGCAATTATGAAGACCAGGAAAAGCAAAAACTTAAGATGACATGTAGTCAACATCGATTGTACTACAGAAACTACCCTGTACTGCAAAAACAGAAAGAGTGTTAGGTAATAGCAAAACTCTAAACATGACTTCTTGGTTAGAAAACAACCTGATTTCCAGTTTTTCTTTCTCTCTCAGCTCCAGCAAGATCTGCTATAGTGAGAACAGCACTAGGTAGAGAAACACTGTGCTCACTGAGGCTCTTCTCAGTCTTGCGAATGTTTATAATGCATTGAGATCGACTGCAGAAACAAACAGAAGTCATTAATCATTAATCAAACTAAAGCAAAATTAGCCAACTACAGTTCTTGAATGAATTAAGAAGACATCAACTGCAGAATAATTAACAATCATGTGAAAGCAACAGTAAAGAACAGCTAAATGTAATTAGATTTAGGCATATGTAAAGGCATGCAAATGAACCAGTAAAAGAAAACTAATTGAACAAAGATATTCAGTTCCACTTTATTTTGTTCGACTGACTGGCTCATTTGGCTAAGAAAATTGAAAAACTAAACAATTTTAAGTTCAGTTAGGTTTGTGGCATTACAAAAAGCATTCAAACTGAACTGAATCAAATATTTTTTAATCAATATAAGCATAAGTATAACATCTAAATCATACATCCTATTAACACAAATAAAGCAGATATTATTACTCAATCATAACGATAAATTAGTATAATAAATACATACATAATATACATCAATTAGATGAAGTTTATGTTATATTCATGAAATGCAGTAGGTTTCAGTCCCATACTGATCCATGACCAGACTGGTACAGAAGGAGGAGAGAAGAAAAGGAGGTGAAGAAGGAGATGGAGGAGGGGAGGAGAAGTACCAGACTGGCAATGGTGAGCAGCATTCGGTGGCAGCCAAAGATGGGCTAGGGAGGCATGCAGTGTGACGAGTGAAAAGTCGCACGTCTGCCACACGAGAAAATATTTAAAAAATCCTAAGCACAGAGTCTAACGTAATCAGACTGTGCCACATGAAAATGGGCAGTCCGCATCACATCCAGTCTGATAAAACCGGTTAGTACGAACAGGTCTTAACAGTTTTGCATTCCTCCATTATATTACAATTATATAACACTGTTTTTTTGATATATGTTAGATACTGAATAAAGAATCATAAAAGCCAATCAACTCGGATTGTTTTGGTATTTTTAGGGCTTCAGTTTGGTTTCCTTTTCAATTTTCGGAAATGGAATAAATTTGGTTCAATTCAAAATTCCCCCAAAACCAAACCGAATCAGAACATGGGCACCTTTAGGCATGTGTTGTGAATAAGAAAGCAAGAGACAAAACTGTCTTAACCTTAGAAAGATATAAACTAACAATAACATATCAAAATCAGAGAAGAAGACAGATAAGTAACAGCCAGTAACAAAAAAGAACAAATACCATCAGTGAGTTACTGTCTTTCATTGTACTAGCACCCAAAAAAAATGTCTAAATCCCTATAGATGATCGCAGATACTACAATACCATGAGTGTCCGACAGAGCATTACAACAGTGAGTAGCCTAGACAACATCTAATCACAAGTAGAAAAAGTTGCTCTATTATCTTATAAAAGTGTTTTGCAAATGTATGAAGCAATTCTTAACCATCTCAAACAAATTTGCAACGAGACCAAAAACAAGATATTGTAGAAATTTGAACCGATTGGAATAGCTCTATATATTTACTGAAGAAAATGAGTTAAACAAAAATATCACATGCCTAGACTGATCATTTGCACTCGTTGCAGCAGTAGAACGTTTAAGCATACCAAGTGCCAGTGCATTCTCTGCTTCTGCAATATTTGAAACCATGACCTGTTGACATGAAGGTAAACAACTTTAGCCTCCATAAATATGGGCAACTTCTTAATGATAAAACAGAAGTAACAGCACATCAGCACCTACCTCTTTAAGACCTATTACAGTAGAATGTTGAAAGGACAGCTCGACCCCATCATGAGATAAATCAAGGATTCTTTCCCCTTTTCCCCGTTCAGAATGTATCTCAAACATTGATAGATAATATGATCTGCAGTCATAATCAGAACAAAATTTTACTGAGGAATGACAACAGGAGAAGATCATGGAGAAATATTAAATACCTATATAAAAACAAAATTTGTTTCTCACTACTCAGAAGAAAGATATTCACATTACCTAAAGTTCCTCAATCTGAGAAAACTTGACATTGCAACTTACAGATTCATCTGAAGTTATAGCTTATAGTAGAAAGAAGCACATGTCAACTATAGAAGAAGTTTGGTTATAGTTCTATATATTAGCACTAAATTTTAAAGGTATTCTGCTCCTCTACCAATACCTATCACAGGCTTGTGCAGGATAAAACGTCATAGCTGCACATGCCTAGTGGATAGTCATTGTGCCAGCAATGGTAACTGACTAGATTTGGTCCATGTCAGTTGATATAGCAGTGTGCAATGTGTAACAGATTAGCCTGCACCAGAACAAAATGGCACAGTGCATAACAGTTATGTACCACAATAATATGTCATAGTTGGATCGCACAGATGGCACAGTACGTGCGCTATGGTATATGTTGATACTTAATTCTATATGGGCAACTACCAAGACAGAAGGATATACAAACTTATTTTTAAGAGCCTAAAAGATTGGGGGAACTAACTTCTGGAAGAGTAAATCATCTCATGTACATTTAATCATGCATGAACAGTCAATTATTCCCAAGTTCTATTTCCATATTCCAGTCTAATTAAATTACTTCCTCCTCCATATCCTTTTTGTGTAAGGCATAAGTCGTGCATCTTCAAGACAACAATCATAAAATCCTTTAAAGCACACCTAGATCAGAGAGGTTGTGCCTTTTTTATCCACTAAAGTCCCTAATTGCAAACACAAGGTAATTATAGGAGATTCTTACACAACAGTAAGATTGATCCATTTTAACCTAGGTGTCAAATACTTTTTTAAAAAGATAATATGTTATACCCGAATTTTCAACTAGTGTGTTGAATTGCATTAAATGTTCGGTTGGAAGTTCTTAATTTCTTATAAGCGAGATGTAGTTAGAATGTAGTAGAATTAAAGATTATATTGAAATACAGTTCTGTAGTGATTGTTCTAAATGAAGTTGGTTTATGCACAATATGACCTACTCAATACTCGTAGTTTGGGTTTTGTGGAACGGCGTAATCCCATTGCATAAACGCATAGGACTGCATGTACCTGACGTTCTCAGATCTAAGTTGGCAGCAACCTTGAATACTAGGTCACTCTTTTTATGCATGTCCACCAACATGGTAAAGTGTGAAAATTTTGATACTTAATAGTTAATAGTCTCAATCAAGCCATCTCACATTTTACACAGTGCAAAACTTTGTATTGCTATAAGTCACTCTTTAAAGATGCAAGTGTTAAAAATACTGTCAAAATCTAAAATGAAAAATTCCAAAGAAGGTGAAATCAAACGTAAATTTTACCTTATCAAAACTAATACAACAGATTTGTTTAAAGAGAAAAACATACTCTTGGCAAATATGACATCCAATTAAATCATGGTCACTTATACATAACTGACAATCCAAGACCACTTCCTTTAAATTCCAATTGACATGGAACCAATCAGCACTATGCTAATCCTGACAACTTATATAGAGCACCCCTGTGAACTGTGCAACTCTTCCAAAGCACAAATGTGTATGAAACTTTTTTAATATCTGAAGTTTCAACTTTCAAGTAAATTTTTTTTAGAACAAGATCAAACAAAAAAAAACATACTTATGTTTTCTTCATAACTCACAATAACTTTGGATGCATGATGTGTAAAAGGATGTGTAAAACTGATCACCATTTTTCTAATTTGACATCAACATATGACAATTGTGGAAGAATAAAAGAGTAATCATATTGTTAACATGATCAGTTTAATGTGTTCATCTTTAACTTTCATATTGTTCAGATTCATAATTAAAGTAACACCAGCCTATTTATCACCTGAACCTGAATTTTCTTGATTGTTTGTATTCCACTTATATCACAAGAGAACAGAGAAGAATGATTAGTTAAACATTCAAAAAATTAAAGTCAAAAAAGAGAGCAAAAGAGAATGATCAACAGATCAACAACCGAAAAACAGCATGGCATCTGTAAATATGTTTACCGACATCTACCTCCTTTCATGAAGATCACCTTGAGATGGACGATCAAAAAGCTGTTTCAAAATGAGAGGCACAACACCTGGATTCCGTGCACATCCAAACATGGTGTAAGTCTTTCCAGAACCAGTGGGTCCCAACGCAACCAAGAGACCACTCTTTCCCCCCATAAAATCCATCAAGATTGGGTTCACCGCCATATTATATACTTCTTGCTATAGAACAAAATATTTGGAAAATAATGTTATTCAACACAGATGGGAACATAAAAATTATTCAACTAAAACAAAATAGAGAATTCAAAAGAAAGGAAGAAAATGCAAGTGAACTTGCATACATTTTTTTTTATTATTATTGTTTGATTGAAGGCCGAATTGGATGGAAATGTCTATTTGTATTTTGGAATATAAAAACAAATATTAAAGCAAGGATGCCCAAAGCTGCCCTGTTCGAATATCAGATATAGTTTGAAGATGGAACAGAAATGTGCTCAAATAGATTTAACAAGTAGCATATCTTACCATGCTAGCACTCCTATCTAAATAGCAAAGGCCATCACTACATAATTAAACCTTTCATAAAATAATTATCGTTACCTCGATTGCAGAGCATAGCTTCTTTAGGGCGAAGATCAATGACGTCAAAAAGTTTCATAGACAATAGTAACATGATCACTAGATTCAACCAAACCAATGCAATCTGGTGATGAGACCAAATCAAACCCTAAATCCATCATCTTAAATTTAAAAAAAAAAACAAACAAGAAATCTTTTATAAAGATCATCTAATGGCAGCACGGAGTAACAGAATTAAAGATGGTATCAGAATCGACAAATCCAAAAGCCCCACCTGGGTTGAATCCGGTGGGAAGACGAAAGAGAACCCGTCGTAGACCTCGTTCTTGGCCCGCCCCCGGTCGAGCAGAGATGGCGCCGACAGCGTAACAGAGCTGGGACCGTTCACCGACAAGCACGCACCGGTCCGCCTCCTCTCCATCTTCGGCGGCGCGCCTTTTGCCAGTGCCCTGGTGCCGGCCTTGGGGGGTATGCGGCCGGGCCTCGGCGGCGCGACCTCGTTGGGACGGATTCGGAGGAAGACCTTCAGGTTGTCAGCGTCAGCGGGGCAAGAAGTGTCCTGGGGAAGGGAGGCGAGGGGTAGGGCTTCGGCGTAGGTCGTTTGCTTCGCCCTACGAGGAGGGTTTCGCCGGACGGTGGTGGGAGGGCAAGGAGACGATGGTGAGTCCATGAGGAGTCACGAACGGAGATTTTGTCGCTCCGCCGCACGCGTCCCTAAGATTGTTGATGAGGATCGGGGATTTGAGAGCTCCGTCGGCCGCTTCCCTTCGATTGTTGATGAGTATCTTCGAATCTGTTGGTGCTGGTTTGGGCTTGTTTTGCACTTTGTCTGGATCCTTCCTCCTCTCGAGTTTGAAGCTGACCACACCAGCGGGAAACGAAAATGCCCTTTTTTATCTTAAACTCAAGGGCAAATTGTATATATATAGTTTTGAGAAATTCTGGTAAAATATTTGCATTTTTTAAAATTTTGGTAGAGAGTCATTTCTTTTGTAAAAGATTATTTTATCTCCTCCGCTCCTAATCGTTTTTGTCATTGACTTTGTCTTCACATATAGACCTCTCACTCGTTATCTACGACTCTCATCCGCTCTTAGTCATCTTTATCTTCACCTTTGTCTTATTATCTTCAGCATAGCCCCTCTACTCTCGCCCCTATTGTCACCTATCCTCACTTCGCCATCTCTGTCATCCTCGTTGTCACTTTATTACAAGGGGCCATAGGCAAGAGCACTCCTTAATCCCTTATTTCATTCTTCCATGGTGTTGACCTTGATGGAAGGGACATTGGTAATGATAACAATTGAGGTAAAGAAAGTAGAGAGATGAGGTGAGGATGAACATGATTGACGATGATGTATGGAGACACTTAGGTAGAAGCAAATACAATAAGGGTCTAACGAGGGTGATGAGTAAAGAGTGGAGAGGTTTATGCATGGAAGCGATCAGGGATATGAGAACGATGAGCAGAGGATAGAAAGACTTATTTATGGAGATGATCAGAGATGAAAGCGGAGTAGCTAGGGGATCACACGTGGAGGCGATCATAGACAAAGGTGATAGCTAGTGAGGTGGAATTTTTGAAAATAATAATGCTATTTGTAAATTTCTTAAAACAAGATTTTTTTTAAATTATCCAAAATTACATGAGTGTTGTACATAAATATTTTATTTTGGACGATTTTTCGGAAGATAAAAAAAACTTTATTTCCGTAATATTGAATAGAATTATTCCTAACAAAAAAAAACATCGAAATCAAAATACCTTTATTATTATAAAACATAAAGTGTTTCCTATAGATAAAAAAATAAGCTTGGATCGAAACGTCACTCAAACTGATTTGGTGCAATATCACATTCAAAATTATCAGGCAATATCTTCCGTTTTTATTATCATTCTTCCACGATAAATGATTATAAATATTTTAATATTTTTAAATATACAATTTAGATTTAAGGCGAGTGGAAAAAAAATAGAATTGTTATCGTCCTATATTTTGAAATATGCTAAGGCTTTCATAATTTTTCATCTATAACATGATAAGTATGTCCAATTGAACTCAACGTTTTAGTATATATCGACTCAAGATAACAACCATACCATAAATAAAACTCAACTATAATGTTCTTGGAAAGAGTTACATTACAACATTTTGCAACTAAGCAATGTGACATCATTTTTCATTATTATTATTTATTATAAATAAAAATATTAAATGTTATCAGCATTTATTCTGAAATATGACAACACGTCCATAATCTTGAGTAGGAACAATTCAAATATTCCTTATCTCATCTCACTAACACATATCCACCGAGAGATTGACCAGCGCACCAAATTTTGAGACATCGAGTATATATGTATTATACAATTACGAGGGTTCAAACAACCAAAATCTACGTGACATGTCGCTTTTGACTGTGAGATAAACAATACAAGATGCATAAAGTTTGAGGAACAAAAAGATGGAGGCGTCAATTTCGCTGAGTGCTCGTTGGAGGTGGAGGAACAAAAAGAAAGGCGAGGATGGAACGACATCTCGATCCAACAGTCGACATTCTAAGGTCGGTAGCCGCCCTGCAGAAAGATTGTGCCCGGGCCCGGATCCTGTCCTGCTGCCGGCATCTGCCAGCCACCAAAAATTAAAGAAGCCTTTATTTAATCCCTGTTCTTGTATAAGAAGAGTGCAGTTGGCTCAGAAGGGTAGGCCAAGGGAGGAGAGGAGATCCAACCAAGGGTAGGGGTGGGTAGGAAGACAGTCTCTTATCATTTTATGTACTGCTGGTTGGGTTTCTTTCATGTTGTTGCTGCTGGGTTCGTTAGCCTTTCAGATAGATGTAGTCTCAGATCTTTCACACTTTCTGTGCAAAGATCTTCGATTACTTTGGTGTGGCGGATGTTTACGTTGTGCAAATAGACTTCGTGGATGTTCTTGATCTATGTATTTGATGAGATCGAGAGTGGTTCTTCGCTACTAACCATGGATATCGTCTTCTTTGCTCTTGATACGAATCATCTGTAAGAAACTACGTCCCTTCGGGTTTCTTTTGCTCACCGCTGCTGCCGCTTTCTTCCTCTGCTCGTTCAATGGTGTCTCCTCGTCTTCCACTGCTACGAACACCTCTCCTTCCTCTACCTCCCGGCACGAAGAAAAACACTATGATCACAGTAAGCAGCAGTGGTAGATCCAGAGATCAAACGAGGAAAGGAAGGCCAACGGCGAGCTCGAAGAAGGAGATGGCCACTAGAGTCTGTCAGCCAAACGATGACGAGCCAAAGAAGCCAATAACAAAGGCAAGTGCATCGGTACCGAGACTCAGGCGAAACGATCAATTAGAGGAGGAGACTCAGGAGACCATGATGGACACCGCATACTCGCCGTCGCCGCCCCCGAGTAGCCTACCATTGCCGAGCTTTGCCCTCACGAGGCTTAGGACTGATGCAAGCGACGGTGGTGCAAGGCACAGTGGCGCCACCGACGAGCTCCGGCGCCTCCTCCGCCTTTAAGAAGATAAAGCCACGTCCTTTCTTTCTTTCCTTCGTCAGCCTCTCAAGGAAAGAAGAAGAAAAGATGTCCGGTAGGAGGGCGAATCGTAGGGTGGTGAATGTGTTCGGAGACACTTGTATAATACTGATGACATTAATGTACTAATTATTTTCCATCGCTAAACCATTAATTTTGCTTCTTTTAAATGCTCGATCAAGGCAATATAATCTTGAATTGTAATAAATATGACATCAGAAATATATCTTGTTTTCTGCGCACATCCAACAGCACCTGCTAACATTTTTCTGAGATGTTTGATGCACTCAAATAAAGCACTTTTTGTCCACCTGCGAGTTAGCATGTGCAAGTAATAGCTTTTGAATTTTCACCAGTACTAATAAGTGCAACCAATTGCTGTCTTTGTACTGTTACAATGTGGTACATTTTTCTGTGACATTTGTCATTATTTTTGTCTCGGCTTGCCGGTGGACATCCATGTGCACCAATCAGGAGCTGCCACGCAGCGAGCATGGATCAATCGAGAGGCCAGCGCTCAGCGGTCTTCGTTTCGATTTGTTTCATGACGCACAGAACTACGACACGTCGCCGGGCGAACGGCCGGTTTTGCTACCGGGTCAAAGTCAACACCGTTTAAGGATCCTCCCATCGTCTCATCGCAGTGGGCACTGCAGACTCAGCAGACCATTGCTTGAGCTGAACGAAGCTCCAGCCGTGTCCAAAGTACGTAGGGCCGCATCGGTGATGGACCACTGTGGCCATTGGTGGATGGCAGCACGCATTCATGATGGCCGAGACTGGCCCGCGCCGCTACAAAACAAATGGCCGGAACACCGACGTCCCCCTCCCGCCCCATGTTTGTCAGAGGGTTCCGCCTCTCCCTTTCATTTGAAGGGGCCGCCCAGCCCACACTCAGCAACCTACCCCCAAGAAGTTGTTCCGTTTACATGCAAATCTGACAGGAAATCATGCACACCAATTTGAACTATGCATTCCTACCGACGTTTTTGATTTGAAGAGAAAAGGAAGCTAAGGAGGGGCTTCTGTTTAGACTCCTCCAAAGATGATTCATCCGAAGATGTCCAAAGAGGCATTTACCATTTCTGCACAGGCACTGGGATAATGCTGCTCATACTATCTCGTTTCAGGAAAAGGCTAAGGGGGAGAACAAGATGCATATATACAACAACGATGGAAACAGTCGAATGAGTGTGGAAGAGGATTCTATGCTGCAGCTAAATGTTCCCCTTCTCCGGCTCATTTCTCAAAATGGTGCAGTTGTGCTCCTCCGTAGTGGGTTTCTTTTGGGCAGTGGGTTTCCGATTGCCGAACGAAGCTGCCCACATGACAGTGATTAATCAACGAGAAGGAAATGCTCGAGATATGCTATTGTACTTTGTGACGCAAGTATGCATTTCTATGGACTAGCGAAGTTACCTCCTCGTATTGCTTCTTCAGCTTGGAGTTCTCGTCCTTCAGATGGGAGACCTCCAGCTCTAGCTCATTGGTATACGCCTGCAACCAGAACGTAGTTTCTTACACGAAAAGATCGATGGCTTCAGCTGAACCGTTTAAACCGTCAAGAGGATGTATGAGATTCCATGCCTGTTTCCTTGCGCGTGATCGGGCTGCAGACTCCCGGTTCTTGATCATTCGCTTGTGGTGACGATCGACGCCGATGGCGGGGTTTTCTTGCAACCGCTTCTTGGAGCACAGTGAGAAGAGACCGGTGGGCGATGGTGGACCGACGGCGACAGAGGAGAACGCGGAGGAGATGAAGGAGGCGTTGTGGCCACTGGAGCTAGAATTGGAGTGGGAATTGGTGGCGTCAGGTCCCAGGTACTGGAACTCTAAACCGGAGTTCAAGCTGAGGGCAGTCTCGGGAAGGGCAGGAGACGGATGAGGTGGCAGTGGCAGTGGCAGCTGCTCGACGACAGTCTGCGAGACGGGGAGGGGCCTGTTCGATGGCCCGGTCAGAAAGTCCTGCAGGATCATGCCCTTGAAGGAAGGCGAAGAGTTCGCGTGGTGGTGATGGTGATAAATATGGTGGTCCAGAGGAGTGATCGGCCTCTCTTGGTGGAAGGTGTTGAGGGTGATGTCCTTCCACACCTCTTCCATGGTCCTCCTCCTCGGTGTCTGGGGGATGAGGATAGAAGCGTTCGAGGAAGGGGAAGACCTGGAGGAGGAGGAGGAGGAAGACAGCACCCTGTTGTTGCCACCGTTACTGTTTCCGTTGTTGCTGCTCTTGTTCTTATGGCTGTTGTCAGGCTGCTCCAAGGACCACATGGCCGACCGCACGAAGTGTGTGGAGGCTTAAGGGAGAAGAGAAGAGGCTTGCTTACGCTCTTCCTGTGATGTGAAGCATGGAGATCGAATCGAGATGAGGAGCTTGATGAACCCTTTTCTCCAACAAACCTCTCACTCATTTCCTTATAAAAAACAGAGACATTCCCCGTACAAAAGGTACACACAGACACGTGCTTGCGACTCACAGTATCCAAGACGACTTCAAAGAGATATCTTTCACCAGAGGGAGCGAAGGAAAAGTTGTACGTATGGGCTTCCTTTGACTAATACCTAACGGAACTTACACTGCTGCCGCATATGATCCCCAACACAACCTTCACCATGTGTTCTTGCTTGGATTCACCAACTCCTTTGCCTTTATTGTGGCTTTGTCCGGAGGAGCAAAAGAAGCAGGTACTGCAAGCGCCTTTGCATTGATGGTCTGAAGCGTGACATGAAAGAAGAGGTGATGGTGGAGTTCTGGTTTGCAGTGGGGGTAATGAGAACCGCCGGCCATGAGTGGGCAAAGAGCTAAACAAGGTCTCTGCCGATGTGACGGGTCTCTGCGGTGATTATACTGTGCTAGATTCGAAGGGAATATAAGAGCAAATATAGAGCGTAAAGAGGGAGGCTGGGCACTGTTTGAACTCACGTCGATGCATGTCAGTGCCGTCACCTAGGGATACAGTGGAGATATGGAAGGATTTTGCCGATTTACCACTGGCTCTGCTCTCTCTCTCTCTCTCTCTCACTCTCAAACGGGAGAGCTGTGAGGGTCCGGGTTTTTACATCTCCTACACATTACACGGTGGATAGAGTTGATTTAGACGTGAAGCCACCCATGGAGGGGTAGCCTGCACTGCTGCTGCCTTATATGCTACATGGGAAGGAGACTCTTTTATCATAGGTATAATGTCTTGGAACCAGGACTTCTGAGATAGGCATAGATGAGAGGCTTGCGGATGTAAAGGGGGGAAGAAGAAGGTTGTCCACAGTGTCTCCTCCAGTTCTAGTAGAAATCAGCAGCAAACTCTTACTTCACCAAAGCGGCCCTTATTATTTGCATAGTATCTGAGTTCTCAGAGAACCTAAAAAGACACTACAGATTAAAGATATATTATTATTACAGACAATTAATTAGGATTAGAAGTCTCAATAAGATAAGATTAGTACATGCTCTATTGATGTCTGTGTAGAATTAAATGAACTGCTGTGAAAAAAAAATTTAGCCCATCACTTATGTAGTTCTCTCTTTTTATCATGCATTATTGGAGTTCATCACCTTCCCACAATAATTGACTTGCTTTGTAGTTGTCTCTTTTTACTGCAGTAGAAAGCTAACATTGCACCACTTCATGAGTAAGAACTGATTCCAAGCCATCAAGAGGAGGAAGCGAGAGGAACCAAGAAAAGGCCATACATTTCAACTATCATAGCTGTCTTGCACTCGAGGCGGCTGCTTCCCTTCGATGGGCTCGGTGACTGCGTAGATCTCGGCGAGGCTACGGCACGTCTTCCTGCGAGTTCTTGCCCTGCGTCTCTTCACCTCCGCTGCCGCCACCGATACTAATATCGTCAATGCTTCTTGCCTCCATTCATCGTCGTGTTGAGCGAGCTTTTCTTTTCCTACTGCAAGCGACGCCATCTCTTGATGCAGTCTCCGCTCTGCCATTGCCATCCCTCTGTGTTTGTTTCTGGGTCGGTTGCTATCCATGTAGTTCTATAGACCTGGAGAAGAATCGTAACTAATATTAAGACGATCTAAACAAGTTTTTACGATGATATTTTGCCCCCTCCTTGACATCTTTATAGCACCAAAAAAAAAAATCTCGAAATACTTGCACCAGAAAGATCACTCGTTAGGATCTCTCTGCAACTATTGCTTGTCCCATTTGCGTGGGTATAATCCAACGTTTTAAATTATTCTTGGCCCTACCTAAGAGTCATAAATAGCCTCAAACACCATATTTTCCTGTGTGAAGTCAAGTTGATGAAAAGTATGAATTCTCGCTTAAATCAAGAGGACCCCTTTGACAATCCATCGAAGCTTTATGATTGCCATATTCTACGGACACAATTAGACGTATGATTGAGGTGATTGGAATGGCTACTTCTTCCTTGTTCTATTTCATCGTAATCATGAAGTTATGTTCGCTTCATTGAATAGATCATCCTTATCTGCTTTAACAATCCACTGCTTCGATTACAGATGCAAATAGAAACCAATGACTACTGCGCATTGATCCCTGAAGAGGAGTTAGCAACACAGCTTGAAATGGAGCCCAAGTTCACCAAGAAAGATTGCCATGGCCTCTGGAAGTGCTTCTTTTGCCTCGAGAACCAGACAAGGATCACAGCAGGAGAGGCCATTGGAGGTGATGGAGTAATACGTCGTGATGAGCAAACGATAACTCCGGCAAATGGTCGCGTCGCACATGAGGAAGAGAGCCGGGAGCAGAAAGGGTCTCCAAAGCATTCCTGAGGATAGCTGAAGACTGCACCATTTTCTCAGTCTTCTCTAGTCCTGCATCATATCATCTTCTATGGATCCCAATTTGTATTTTGGTGTTCGACTCATTGTTAACTTCGCAATCTCCTTAATGCAAAAAAGATTGGTCTTAATTACTAGAGGGCAACTCCAAAGACATGAAACTAGAAAACGAAACGACTCTCGAGAATATAAATTTGTCCTTCGGGCATCCTTTTCTGCGAGCAGAGATCTATAGGATACACGAAGCAGCAACAGATGTAACATCAAAAAGGAGTTTTTTCTCACAAAGGCGTAGAGAGCTGGTCTTCCTTTGGATACTCAAGTTTGTGCAGGACATGGATCTACCACCAGCATGTACATATGAGCCTTGGTTTCATACTCCTTATTCATACTCCTTGGTTTCATAAAGATTTACATGAATGCTTCGATTGCAGTAATCATCTCTACCCATCTGCGGCAGAGCTTTTGTGTTTACAAAGATTAAATGGTTTGAATCTTGGAGAAATGTCCTACAAAGGAAACCTTTACCATGTGAAGCTTTTGTTCTTGATGTGTATTACCGATGCAACTTTTCCGGAGAAAGTCTTGTCAAGTTCGAACGCAGAAGGAGCCACTGCAGAGTCTTCCACATGAGATGGTGTACAATATATTATTCCCAGTCTTGACGAAATGATTGTTCTGAGTCAATTCTTCTTTTAGGTTTATGGGGACGAGTGAAAAAGACATTCCATTAATCCTCAGTTAAGAACACATGATCTCTATAAACAATGGCAGGCAAGCTTTCATGACCTAAGCATAGAGGGTCAGAGCCTAAGAAAGACTGCACTGAGGAGTGAAGCAATGAGCAGTGGCCCGAAAGACAACAGAGACTTTGTACTTGTTCCTCAGCAGTACTCCATAGGTGGCGTTGACGACTAGGATCTTAGCTTTCGTGCTAATTAACTTCTTATCCTACCTCGTCCCGACAGATCTGTGGGCCAATGCCTTCAGGCCATGGGAATAAAATATCTTGAGCATAAGTCTATAGAAATTGATGAAAAGGATATCGGATCATTGTGATCAAGCAATGCAGTGATAGAAATACTAAAGAAAGAAGAGATTCTTTCCAGTCTTGTGCCGTGTGGCTTCAGTACCAGAGAGATTTCTTGAGATTTTATATGCAGTCATCAGATTGGTGCAAGCTCACGGTCCCAGAGAGAGAGAGAGAGATGGAGCTTGATGAGGAAGGCTTCTTGGACGAACTTCTCGCTCTGAGGAGGGAGACATGGGACAGCTATCCTGTGGGAACGAGTGAGCTCCTGTTATGTGATGGAGGGAGACTAGATTGCTCACAGGAGATCCCAAGCTTGGTTTCACCAGATCACAGTGAACTAAAAAAGGCTATGGTCGGCTTCAAAGCTGAACAATGACTCCCACAGTGAAGCCTGCTGCCCATTCTCGGGAGGACCCGCGGCAGTAGCATCAGATTCCCACTCCTCAACAGGGATGCAGAGTCATGGATCTATCCCTTTCTCCTCTCACGAAGGTTACGAACCTGTTTTAAATGACGAGCGGCGTAGAGTTCCTGTAGCCTCCAGTAATCCGGGCTCCTGTATGGGGAGAAAGAACAACCGGATGAGAAAGGTGGATGGTCTGCCATCCAAGAACTTGATGGCGTAGAGGAGCAGGAAGAGGCCCAATGATAGGCTCTCCATGCTCAGATCTGTTGTTCCCAGCTGGATAAGCAAGATAGAAATCGCAGTTAAGCTCTTTGTTTCCTTCTTTTTGGATCTTTGCATGCTTGGATAGCAACGTCCACTGGTAGATGGACAGGACATCCATCCTTGGAGACGCCATTGATTACATGAAAGAGCTGCTACTTTGAAGGTCATCAACTCCAATGAGATGGTCTCAAGCAATTCCCCAAGGGTACGAAAGTAGCATCCGATCACCGAACATATTCTTTCTCCCTCCAAAGGGATTGGAACTATTGAGCATTGCTGCAGTTCGAGGTTGAAAGGAGGGATGCAGATACCAGAATAGAGGTAAAGCTACGTCATGAAGAGTAATGTTTTGTGACCTCTTAAAGAGCTTGAGATAATTAATATCACAGTTTAAATTTAATTCCAATTTGATGTAGAAAATCAATTTATACGACAAATTATTAATTATCGATAAATTAGTTAGTATATTTAAATCATATGACAAGTGGTTTTGATAAAAAAATCATTAGATGATGTCTCGATTATTTTTTTATAAAAAGGTTGAGCCTTTAAATTATTATTTTTTAGAAATTTTAATAGATGAAAATTTAAAATCTTAATAACTGATAAGTGAATTTTGAAATGAGTATAAGTATAAATGTTCACTTAAAATATAATAATTTTATTATTTATCACTCTAAATTTAGCTCTAATTTGTATGTAGAAATATATATTATTATGGTATTATGTAATAACTATTAGTAAATAAAACGTTTGTTGATATTTTAATTTACATAATATCCTCAATATAAACGTTAGAACAGAAATATTACCGCAATTCGTTTGAGTCGGCGCTGCCGAAGCGAAATGCCGCCGTTGTGCTCTCACCTCCTCTCTCTCAACATCTCGCTCCCCTTCGTCGCCTCTCCTTCACGATACCCTCGCTCTTCCTGCCACTCTCCTCCCATCACTCTCCCCTTCTGCTCTCCCTTCCCCGCCCTCAAACCCTTCCCCCCTGCCGCCGCCGCCTCTTCCTTCCCCTATTCTTATCAGAACCCTGATCGAGATCAGCAGCGAGACCCACAACTCCTGGTACCGCAGGACGAGGAGCTCGTCATCGGCGATTGCCTCGTCTTCGAGGATGGTGCCTTCGAGGATGGCGACCCCTTCGACCCACCGTCCCCCTCCGAGGAGGCCGGTAGGCCGGGGCGGAGAAGGCCCGCCGCCGCTGCCTCCACGGCGGAAACCGAGAGCTTAGTTCCGAATAAGTGGAAGGAGGCGGTGGAGGAGATCAACATGACGAAGAAGGAGAAGCGGAAGATTTCGCACGAGTTGAAGTTCGGAAGCCGGATGGAACGGAGGAAGAAGCCGCCCGTGCCGGACATGGAGGAGTACCGGACGTACCGAGAGATGAAGCTCGCCCAGCTGAAGCCCGTGGTCCTCGATGATCCACGCGAGTTTCCGCAGGCGGCGGTGCCTCCTGAGCAGAAGGGGCTCCCGGGAGGAAGAGTGGCTCCGAGGAACCCTAGACTGGGGTTGGATGGGGGAACTTTGGAGGATATCAGAGAATTCTTCAATAGCGGAAAGTATGTGCCCAGAGATGTGGATGATGACAAGAATCCCCAAGGTGAGTTTGGTATTTGGGCTCTCTCTATATCAGTTCTAGTATCAATTCTTTCCCTTTCCTTGTCTCTTACTATTGATGCTATAGACATTTGGTTATAGCAAGATTAGTAGTTGTTTTGAGCAGCCATGAACTTTTGCATGATGAACTGTGAGCAGTGGAACATGAATGGCTATATTGGAAAGGATAAGTGAAAGTAACTTCTGATAATTCTCCTGCAAGTCTGGGCCTCTTACTCTCATTTGTCTATCTAGAAGGAGCATGTAAGCCAAAAATTACATGCGTTTTCTAATGAGGCAGAAATGTGTGATACAGATAGAACTCAATATAGTGTTAAAACTAATTCAACTAAGCACCTCTTTGGATCACAAATATTCAACAGAATCTTTCATTACAACTTTCTTAATATTTACTATGTCATATATGTGTATGCTTCTCAACAAGAAGGGGCTTATTAGTGATGGCGACAGAGTATATTTTCCATTCAACAGTAAGATATAGCGACAATTAGTTTGTCAAGCTTGTGAGGTTAGATGAATGTTGAACAAGGAGAAGACATAGCAGAAGATGCATCTGATGTCCTGGTTAGGCGGAGTAGGCAAAGACTGGGGTGGGCAGGACTACATGGCAACATGAAGATATGCTTCATATAGCTACAAAATCTTGATACATGTTATGCAAAATTTGTGCAACTTTTGGCATGTTTTATATTAAATATGTGGGAGGTAATATTATACATATGTGTATAATATGTGTAAAATATGTATCTGCATTTGTAAGTACATATTAAATGCAGATACATACAGATACATATATAATATGTGTAATATTATACATATTACACAACAGCCAAACCATAATCATCCAAATTGTCCTTTTTGTGTCCTGATGTTTGTTCTATTAGTAAATACTTTGGCCTATTTCTTTTCATGACTTGGAAATATTGCTAGAGTGTAGCAATGGGATAAAGGAATGATTTTCCTGGTCTGAACTTGGAGCTTTCTTCAGTCATCAGTGCAATACCACCTGTCTGCAATTGTTCCTTTAGGGTAGTCAATGAAAACAGATACCAATTTTATTTTTCTTGTCCGTAGTCAACTTCTTGTTTCATGGTTGAAATACTTGTTCATTGCCTAGTACTTTTTTATTTCATAATTCTGGTATGTTTCTTCAATCCAATTTGTATCATCTGTTTGTATATCTACATTTATGGTTAAGTTTTACATAGCAAGATCTTAGATGAATCTTCTTGAAGGGTTCTATGTAAGGATTAGTGTTGTTTTTTCCCCAATTATTACAATGTAGTGGCCCTTACTATGCTTTATGTCAGACTTGGTTTTGATATAGCAATTATTTACTCAATTTTGCAGGTCGGCGTAAGCTGTTCACACTGGAAGAAAAGGTTCTCTTAAATAAACGCATACCTAATTTGGCAGAAGCAACTTCAGTAAGTCGTTTATTTTCAAATTACATGTACTGGATTCATCTATGGAATATTACTCATTTGCATATTCTGAATGAATTGTATAAAATGCTAAGAATTATCTGTTTGAATTAAGTTATTGATCTCATGTCATGTAATGTTGTTGTCTGCCTGTTACAAGTGGAATTTATTGATCACATATTGGTTATATGTTTGCTTGTTACAAGTGGAACTTATTACATGTTCTCAACAAAGTGCTCAACTCGGAGTTATGTGAGAAATTTAATATGTTTGCTCTAAAATTTATCAATGTAATTTTCTTGACTTCAAGTTTTGCTTAAGGGCAAATATTTTATCTTTATTTAAAATGTCTTCTTTATTTTTAAAATTAATCATCTTTGAAGATTTGTACACTGTATTCTTTCTACTTAAAAGCTTTTTTTCTTTTATTGTATAAAAGTTTCATTTTGTGACCGATAACAGTTTTCGGCGTAGTGGTATGGTTCTAGTACATACTGATATATTGATACATATAATGTTGGTGTACCAATTGCCATCGATCAAGACAGAGAGTGAGAGAAGAGGGGGCAGGATGATGAAGAGATGGAGGAGGAGGAGGTGGAGGAAGAAGTGGCAGTGTGAGGCAGCAGATTGTGGCAAGGCAACGGGTGGTGGCGCCGAGGCAGCAGATGATGGCAGTGAGGCAACAGGTGGTGCACAAGAGAAGATTGGGGGAGAGAAAGTGGGATATAGTACATTTAAAAGAAAAAGGCAATTGTCATTGTTGAAAAGTTAAAAAATAAATTGATAGGATTACAAATTGACCAAGTGAAATTGTTTGATCCAGGTGCCAGTTATTAGTTGGATAGGTAAATATTGGACGGTACGGATCGGTTTGACCTATTTTTGATACACTAGTATCTGCATATTCAATTTTCTATTTTTTTATGATTAATAGAAATGTAAATATAACAAGTAATAACTGATAAATTCTAAGTAATATATTATAAAAACATAACACTACTGGCTACTGTAAAATATTCTGTATGGTGACATACATTACAAGAATTCCATTCACTACTTTTATTGCTTGATTAAACAAGAAGTTTTATTTAGTAAGCATTATGTTTTGAAACTTGCATAATATTATAAATGATGTGCATTGATATTGTCTTAATAAACAACGTATATAGTCGCAATATAAGTATTTTACAGTTTTTTCTTGTAAAACAATTAAAAAACGTTATTTTTGTATATATATTTTATGTTTTAACTATTTTGTAACTTTAGGTATATTTTTATTCATACATCTTGTTGGAGCCAATCCTCTGATTTGTTTTTTCTAATTTCATCAATCTGATCAGATCTTAATTTTTAAAATAAATGATCCCTTTTCAGATGAATGCATCTTATTTTTTTGATTTTCCAATTTTTATTTGACTCATATTTCCATTGATCCTAAAATTTCTGGAGTATTGAGCTTTTGGTTAAATTGGTTAAATCTTATGAAACTAGTCAATGATCTGATCCAATTTAAGCCCGTGTATGTTATGCTAGAATTCTGATCTTGGCAGCAGTTATTGTGATGTAATTGTATCATGCTTCTGTATTTTCTGCTTCATAGGGTATCAACTGGTTTGTGACTTTTTTCTTATTTTCATTGTTCTTTAAAAATGGTTACAATTTTTTCTTTTCAGAGTAAATGGCTCCCTCTACACAGTCTTGCTGCATCAGGAGAATTCTTTCTTTTGGATACATTACTAAAGCACAATGTTGACATCAATGGTGTTGATAAGGTATGATAAAATCACCATTTGTTGAAATCTTTTTCTGTCTTGTTATGAACTTATTGGATATTCACTTGGAACCAATCAAGGGAAGCTTGTTATTGCTAAATAGTAACAATGAGGTTGTGTTAGTGCACAAACATTCGTGAAAGCTTTGTGCATTATGGTTCTGTGATGTAGGGAATATTCTATTAATCTCTTTGATATCTCATAGGATGGCTTGTCGGCAATACACAAAGCAATTCTTTGTAAGAAGCAGGCTGTTATCAACTACCTCCTCAGAAATTCAGCAAACCCTTTCATTCGTGATAAAGTAAGCACTATGAGATCTTATTTGCTGCATATAATATTATATGTTATCTTGCTTGTATATGCTGTGACATTTTTTCATTGCTGCTGACCGATACACTTGTAAGATTCATTCTTAATTTTTTGGCTACCATAATTTTATCTATTTGATGTCATAACATCTAGTGATCACAAATGTAACTTTTTTCTTTTGAGGTGAAAAAACACTTATTCTAGAAAAATACTAGAAAATAGTGCAAAAGTCAACAAAGTGGAAATGCTCACTGTAAGGTTTCACAAATGATATATTCAAATTGGGTACATTGTGCTTTACAGTTTCAGTTAGTTCTTAACTATGTTCTGTTAGTTCTGATGTGATCTGACTTGGCCTAAACCCAACTGCAACCATGTGTACACAATTCAGCATTCATGCTGCTAGAGGATTTGTGTCTGAATTGGTTGGAATTTGCTGGTCTTGGCTGTAATCAGTTTGAAATTGGTATGAATGGCCAATGCAAAGCCAAACTAGGCCAATCCATAGGTTGCTTTTGGCTTATTCTTGTTGATCCTTCTCCATTGAAGAATTGGAGAAGTAGCATGCAGCTGCTGCTGCCCAATGTTTGACATTTTTTAGCTTCTTGAGGAGGAGGGGAAGGTACTTTGCAGGATCACCAGATCTGTGCTGTTACTTTCATTTTGCATATATCACTGAAGATTGATAGATCTAAAGACTTGAATATGCTTGTCCTCATGTTAAATGTTTATGCTCACAGATATTGATGAGCTTTCCTTCTGGAACATTGATCCTAGTGCTTGTACATTTTTTCTCCTTAACAATGTTTCCTTTGCTTTTCATGTGGGATCAATTAATTGAATACTCACTCTACTTACCAGATCACTTGGATTATCTTCTTGTGGTTTCCCAACTGCCTTTAAAAAATATCCTCATTCATCAGTTATGCTAATTCCATCCTACGACAAATTTAGGTTTTTAGTTCCCCTATGAAGCAAATAATGCATCTTAGTATCTTTTTTCGATGGCATTATTTTGTTATTTACTTGTTATTGAAGTTTTCAACAAACATGTCAATATGATATTCATTTTGGAAAGTTGACCATTTAATTTGTGACGTCAGTGGTAATAGTATAAACTAGATGACTGGTGTTACGCTATTTCATTCCATGGGATCTTCTCCTGCGCTAGACATACCTATCCAAGCAGGGACTAGCCTGCAGATCATCCTATATACACAAAATCATAGATAGGAACCAAACTAATTAAAAACCACTTTTGATCAGGTTTTGTCAAAACTGACTGTTAAAACTCCATATGAATGTAGTTTGTCATACATACTTTTGAAGTCATGTTAACACATTGTGGATCCTTGAAACCCTTGTCAAAGTGAATCTAATTATTTGCTTTAAAAGGCCAACAAATTTTGGCATTTTTCAAAATTTTTGATTGACACTTACCAAATATTACATGATCGAGACAAAAAATTCATATAATACTTAGATATATGTTTATGAAATTGTTATATTCAAGAATGCTTCATGATGTTATTTGATCATCTAGTGATGGAAATTGATAACCATTCTGTTGATACTGCTTTTATTTCCTTCTTCAGTGTGGTTTGGGTAAGCTAAATAACAATCTTTATAGGTAGGCACCGGCCATTTATTTATCATCTCCACTAAACAACAGTCTTTCCTGAATTCATATTATGTTTCTGACCATTTATGATCTGAAGACTAAAGGGTTCTAAGATTTCTATGTTGTAGATTCTGTTGAGGTTAATATTTCTCACTTGCATCAGGATGGGGCTACCTTAATGCATTATGCTGTCCAAACAGCATCAAGTCAGACCATAAAGATCCTTCTATTATATAGTGTTGACATAAACCTTGCAGATGATGTACGTTTGTTTTGTTTTCAATTAATTGCTAGTTTTTTATACTATTAACTAGATGAAAATTAACTATCATAAGATTTTTGCAGGATGGATGGACTCCGTTGCATCTTGCCGTGCAAACACAAAGAACAGATATAGTCAGGTTGTTGCTGATTAAAGGAGCGGACAAGACCATAAGAAATCATGTAATTCTCCAAACTGAAGGCTTTCTGTTAATAAGCATGCATTTGAGATTTATTTGTGGTCTTCTGAGATCCTTCTGAGATATTTTTGCAAGAGACTTTTGGCTTAAATTGAAGTAGGATTTTTTTGTGCATTATTTGGGAATTTCGTCTTCTTGGCAAGTGGACATGAAGTTGGTACCAATTGGCCATTGTTGACCTTTATATAATATTTCTTATTCATCTATGTTTGGCCATTAGCTTTCATTGGTTTACCAGTGCTAACATTACTTTATACTGATTCCTTTTATCAGGATGGATTGACACCATTAGATCTGTGTCTTTATTCGGGTCACAACTCAAGAACGTATGAGCTCATAAAACTACTGAAGCAGTTTCCCCTGTCGAAGACATCTGCTTGAGTTCCCCTCTGTTCGTCTGCATAAGACCATCTTCGACAAGTCGCCATCTTGATGGCGTTATTGTCAGGTATAATTGATCTTTCATTAGTTCTTCTTTGTCCTTTATATAATAACATCTAAGCTTTATGCCATTTAACACTTAATATGTTTTTTCTGACTGCCGACAGATGCAGCCCAGCAATACGTTCTGTTCTAACAGTCGCTCATCGTGGGGGTACCGTTCATGCGAGTGTTGCCTCTTGGCCTAATCTTAATCAAGTTAAGAGTGTAGCAGAATTCTATCCTGGTCAATCTATGTATCCATATAAACAAGTCAACACTTCAATTACAAGGTCATGCTAGCTTTGTGTAAGGTCAATAAGCTAGAACGCAACTATAATGTAGATATGGTAGTGGACGTGAATCTTAAATGTCCTTGCATTTTTGACCATAGGGTTCTTTTGTGCTAAGGGCTAATTTCAGATTAAGAACATCCTAAAAGCTTCTAGTTTTGTTCCTTGCAATTGTTGCAGCATAGCTTAAGCCCTTGTTTTGTGTTTCTTGTTCTTTTCTTTAAACGAACATCATATCTGTGTCAGAACCTAAATAGTCACGTATAAATGTTGGCCAGCTTCACCATGTTCGTCGCTTGATGCCGAAGCTTAATCAAGAGCAGGAAAAGCAATGCCTGGTTGCCGTCTGATTCATATCCAACGGACCCGACCGCTTTCCTGAAACATTCTATGTAGCTCTAACAACACGCTAAACCTTTGCCTTTTCCCTTTCTCTTTTCCTTTAAATCTTTTTCCTTTTCCTTTATATTTTCTTCTCGTGAAGGAACTGATTATTCTATCCTCCCTCCTTGCTTATTTTAAGTCTCTCTTCCACGCACTAATAAGCGAGGACACTTGTACCGAGTGCAACATCAGTCTCATCCGCTAAACATGGCGAGCGTGAAGGTTTTCGGCTCCCCGACGTCGGCAGAGGTGGCGAGGGTGCTGACATGCCTCTTTGAGAAGGAGATCGAGTTCCAGCTCATTCGCGTCGACAACTACAAGGGCCAAAGAAGACTCCCCGAGTACCTCAAGCTACAGGCAATGACGCTCTGTGGCACTTCCCGTTCCAATTCTAATGTTGTTCTCATGTGGTTCTTACGAACGTAACTCCTCGTTGCAGCCCTTTGGACAAGCTCTAACTTTTGAAGACGGAAAGCTGACACTCGTCGGTGAGAAAAGGCCACAAACTCGTTGCAGTTGCACCATTGATTGGAGCTTCAGTTCTTGTTGCTATGTGATGCTCGTTCTGGTTGCAGATTCGAGGGAGATATGCCGGCACCTGGCGGACAAGTACGCGGACCAAGGCAACAGAGACCTCCTCGGCTCCGGGACGCTGGAGAGGGCATCGATCGAACAGTGGCTGCAGACCGAGGCCCAGAACTTCGACCCGCCGAGCTCCGCGCTCGTCTTCAACCTGGCCTTCGCGCCGCTGCTGCGCCTCGACCAGGACTGGGAGGTGGTCGAACAGAGCATGAAGAAGCTGGGCAAGGTGCTCGACATCTACGAGCGGAGACTGGACGAGACGGATTTTCTGGCCGGTAACAAGTTCACGCTCGCCGACCTCTCCCACCTTCCCAACGCCCATCGCCTGGTCGCCGACGACAAATGCCGCTCCCTCTTTAAGTCGAGGAAGAAGGTGTACAGGTGGTGGGAGGCGATATCGAGCCGCCCGTCCTGGAAGAGGGTGGTGCGGATGCAGCAGGAGCCTCCCCACATTGTCTAAGTTCATGGGTCGTCTTCAGGGTTTGCTCCTTTGTATCTTTGCCTACCATGTTGCTTTGTTCAGCCAAGCGCTTCCGCGCCGTGTGTTTGTCTTGCTACCGAGCCAACCAAATGTTCTGCACTTCCAATCTAGTTTGATGATAGCATCAAAAAATTTAGGGTTAAATCATCCTTGCAACATGACAAGTACGTGAGGAAATTACATGATTTTGGTAATTCAAGAGTGATCGACTCTTGCTGTGTTATGGAACATATCCTAATCAAAAAGACACTCCCACATCAGATAATTGATGATATCTTTAGAATATGGGATACATTTTTATAAGAAAAATTACATATAAATATATATGTATATATAACCAATGGAAATGGTAAGAGACATTTAGGTATTTAGATTTTTAATATTAGTGAGTAAAATAAGTTTATTGGATGAATACTAATACGAAAATATATATTAAGGATTGGCTTATATATATATATATATATATATATATATATATATATATATATATATATATATATATATCCCTCCTAAATTAGCAGTTTTTATATTGACTCCTTTCAATCTCAATTTAAATTTAGCAGATACACACTGCAAAATGGAAAAAAAAATCTTAGATACAGATATGTAGACTTTCCCATAGCTAATGTTCTTTAGTTGATTGCCACAATTTAATAGAAATATTTAAATCTAATTTATTACAATAAATTTTATTATCACAGTAAGAATTGCAAGAAAAATGCGGTTATTTTGTGTATTAATTATTCAATGAAAGGAGTCTAAGAAGAGGACTGATTGGTTACAGCATTTATAAATTGCAGAAGGATAAATATATATGACGACCGTAAATTGAAACCAAACCATTAAACACTCATTATTACTCCATCAACGCGTTCGCCACCAGCCAACTAATCCCTAAATCCTCCCCTCCGTCCCTTCCCCCTTCCCCTTTCCACGCACGACCACGCCGATCTTCCGCCGGAGGGGGAACGGCCGGCTGCCGGCTGCCGGCGCGATTTTTGGCGGCGCCTGGAAGCCTATCGGCGACGGCCCAACGGTATTTATCTACTTCTCCTCCTCTTCTTGCTTCCCGTTCCGCGGCCTCCCTCTCTGTCGGACTCCATTTGCTTGTTCTGGCTCCATAAATGCGTCAAAACTACGCATTTTCGTCTTTCATTTTGTTTTATTTGGAGGTTCCGAGCTGGATTTGTATTGCTGCGGTTTATTTTTTGCTTTTCTGTTTTCTCATTTCGTTCGAAAATATTCTCGTTGTTGTAATTATTATTTTTTGGGTGAAGGCCGTTCTGTGGTTATGCTTCTGGAATATATGGCATTGGTAGTTGATGTGAATTCTGAACGTGAATTTTTGCTTGAAACTTTCTCTTGTTGCACCACCACTTGTCGTGGAACTCGTCTTTGGTATTTCATAAAATCTTTGCTGTTAATCCGAATTAAGTTTTAGCCGGTCACTAGAATTATGTTTTTAATCTGTAAGTATTCTGACTTCTTTTTTAGATAAATCATGGACAATATATGCGCCCGAGTAGAACATGTCTTCATGCATTGTCATGACGCTTGATTATTGCAACAATGTCTACATGCCTCTGCTTAGTCTATTTAAGTGTTTGTTTGATTGCATTGGAGGGGGCGGGTGTGAGATATTTCTGAGGACTAGAATTAGCTTACTGGTTCAAGGCCTTCTTTTATCTTTTTGAGTCATATCCTTATTTCCCCATCATCTGTCATTTTCACTCAGTTTTGTTGTCCATCCATCCATACGGCATACATGTGTACATGCACTATATATTCATATATGTACAGAATGTTCTACATTTTGGGTACCAGACCCATGTCTGTTCATGGTTGAACCGGTTCTGGTCTAGTCTGTGCCTGAGCATGGCTGGACCGATATGAGTCCTGTCTGTGCTGATGTACCAATACACGGTACATTGGGATGCATCATTGTACCAAGAATGGGAGGGGGGCCACGGGGAGCAGGAGAAGAAAAAGATTAGGAAGAGGAGGCAGAGGGGGAGGAAAAGGAGAAGAAGAGGAGGAGAAGGCGGAGAAGAATTGATAACCAGGTTAGGCCAACATCACCTGCAGTATATGAAGCATGCTTTGTATTTGACTAAAAGGTCAAAGATGTCTCTTTGGATTATATCTGGATCTGTAGACATGATGGAGTGCACTCTTTATTCTCCTCTCATGCTGTTGATAAGTAGCATAAAAGGTTTTTAACATACATGAAGATTTTTTCTTATTAATTTAGTTTTTTGTATGATATTTATTATTCCTTCCTGTACAATCATATTTCGAGTGTATTTTTCCAACTCGATTATAATTATGTGATGTAGATAGAATTTTATATATTAATGTTAATTATTGAAATTGCCTTGTTCCTGGTGGCAAATATGTTGGTTTTGGTCAAATATCAAAGGCAAATTTTGTCTTCGTAATAATGTAGTATAAATCACATGGGAGCTACTGGCTGTAGTTTTTCTGCTATTTCGATTCTTCATTCATGTTCTGTCAGAGAAAAAGATTGGTATTTCTTTTTGGCTTATAATTAATGTCCACTATAACATGATATGTTACTGTGATTCCAGTTTCAATTTCTTTTAGCTACTTGTCTATTTCAGAATTAAAGTTGTTCTCAAAATGTCCCTATTTTTTTTTAAAAATATAGTAAATTCCAGGGTAGCATGTATCTGGAAAGAAGAAGGTGAATGTTGCCCAGTGGAATCCGATCCCTGCGTGTTCTTTGAGATTGTGGAAGGCTGTGAAAACTTATAGCTTGACCGTGGCGCTTTTCTTCCAGAATGCCAGGCTTATCTCTGGCAGTTCGTGAGACCATGTATGCCCAACTTACATTTCATTTATTGATAGTAATTATGATAATTGCTTAATAAGTATTGCATTCTGTGTTTGCAATTGTTTCATAGATAGTTTTGTGATTCAAGTTATGCATTGTCTTAATTTCCTATTTCTACTTAATTGGTTCTATTTCCTTTCTTTCAAGATGTCAACTTTTCCAGCCCTTTTGCGTTACTGATTACTTTTGCTGTAGGAATCATGGTTGCAGTTGCAGCCAATCAAGGACTGATCAGATGTGCCATGAGCAGTCTCGAGTTCGATTGACAGCTGAAGAGCAACTTGCAGCTGAAGAAAGTCTTTCTGTATACTGCAAACCTGTTGAACTTTATAATATACTTCAACGTAGGGCAATACAAAATGTAAGTTTGTGTTCTAGGATATTGGTTTCTTGTTAAAAAAGCATGATTATGAGGTTCTTATGTTTAGATGTGCAGTTTAAAGCAGATATTTGCTTGTAAGAGTCTGATTCTGAGGTTATAACAGCTTATTTCACTTTATTGCAGCCTTCATTTCTTCAGAGATGTTTGCAGTACAAGATGCAAGCAAAGCGCAAAAGGAGGTTCTTATTCTGTGATATAATAATTTCCCTTTTAGGTGTAGATGTATTCTTTCATAGTACTTGATATGATGTTTAAAAGTTGTTGTGTTCTGTACATTCAACAGAAAAAAAAAGCCATTTCCTCTTTAATTGTTTCATTGATGTTAGTAGCCGAGTGCTCCCACCTATGTGCATAGCTTGGTTGTCTTTACAAACTTTAACACAGAGATGATATGTTGGTTTTCTGGGGACATCGAAGTTTCTATTTCTTTTTTGCTTACTGATATTGGCAAAACATTTTTTTTTCTTATCATTTAATTTAGGTCTTCTGAAACTGATTTCTCATAATTTCCTGGACTTTGAAGTATCATGTTTAACTTTCTAGATTGTGCCAAAGTTTCAGTATACTATAGGTTTAGTTGAATATAATTTATTTATATTTGACTTCTACTACATCAAAATTTCTCCCCCTTTTGTAGAATTCAAATAATCATTTCACTGATTGGAAGTCTGAACGCTGAGAAAGAACATTTGTTCCCTCTCTATGTGCTATTAGCTAGACCTGTTGCTGATTCTGCAGTTGCAGAGGTATAGAAGTTTCCTGTTCTGCTGCAAGACTCTGTTCTATGTTAAATACTGAAGTTTTCCCGTTATTGTGCTAAATAAACAGCATTCTGCAGTATATCGACTCAGTCGCCCTTGTGTCCTAACTAATTTCAGTGAGTTTGGGAAAAAGGCTCATATGGAAGCCAGTTTTGTTATTCCTGAGATTAGGAAACTGATAACCAATGCACGAGCTAACAATCTCAACATTATTATCATCAGCAAAGGTGTGGTGTGTTTCTTTCATATGTGTGTGTGTGTGTAACCTTTATTTGTTGCATTATTTGACTTATATTCATGTCACATATGAATATTTGAACTGCATCTACAAAACTCATATGATCTATTTTCTCTTCCAGGGGAATCAAAAGGTGGTTTTGGTGGAAATCATCTATTGAATGAACATGAAGAATGGTCTTCTTTTCTCAGTAAGGCATAATTAATTGCCAGATTTGTATTGGATATATTATTTGTTTGAACTTCAGGATTCTGATTTTGAGAACTTGAAGATTCCATTTTGTTTTCTCAAAAAATGCATTCCCGTTTATGAAGAAACTATAAATGGTGAAGTAGCAAAATGGTTTGCCACGCTTGATAAATTTGACCTACTGAGTTATTTTTGCTTATGAATGCAGAAAATTTGATTTGATTCCTCTGGATTGGTGCAAACTGAAGTCTTGGATCCAAGCCAAACACTATCACTGTCACACTAATATTAGAAAGATTAGCTCAAATTTCTCAATGACACTCTATGATGCTATTTAAATTATCTTAAGACTTTCAATTGAAGATATATGATAAATTTCATGAGTATTCTGTTTCTAATCCAACAAGCCTTTTCCTTCTTGGTATAAAACTCGGAAACTTATGTTCTTATGTCATATTTTGTCAGTTTAAAAGCTCCTCGTATGACCTTCCATGATTCTACTCATTCAAGATAATGGGAAAAAAAGTCAATGAGCTCTCGACTTCTCATATGTTAGTTTTAATGTAGCTGATCAGAGCTTTACTTTGGTTACGATATTCTTCATCTGTCTTGAGATTCTGAGTCTTTCTAAGCTAGTAGGCCCAAATTTTTAGTGCTCAAGAAGATACATTGAAGCTCAATTTGTTGGTTTTTACTGATCAGTATAGTGGTAGGCTGGTTATTGGCGTGTACTATGTCTAATACATGAGAAGCATCTTAGTGTGAGTATTTGATGTATTTTGTTCTACCTAATGAAAATTTAGTTATCATATGCTACTTTGTGACCACCGTGCCGACCTTTATCATCAATATGATCAAACCTCATTACTTGTGTTTGGTGTTCAACATGTTTTTTTTTTTTTTCCGAATGAATCCTTTTCTTTTGTTTCCATGCTTGGGGAATCTATCCTGAAGATGGAGAATGCTAGGGTGTGATATAAATGTTCTTGCTCAGAATAAAATATACTTTGCAGACATTAAGTTGTAACTATAAGATGACGATTAAAAGAGTAAGTGGAAAGCATGATTCTGTTGGGCTCATTGCTTTAATGGGGTTGAGTTGAGTTTTCTCTATCTGTAATAGGGTTAAGGTCCATTTTAGCTTTTGTGGTTTTGGCCATAGATCTCTTAAGCCCTTATGGTTTACTTATGCCTAAAATGACCCATATATTTAAAAAAAACGTAGCATATAGGTTCCTCCCATCAAGTTTGAGTTAACAGACGTTAGAGTCTACTTATGTGGCATATTGACTCACAATAAATCATTAATATAATGACACGTGTAATTTAGGGTTAAGGTCCATTTTAGACCCTATGGTTTTGGCCATGAACTTCTTAAGCCTTTATGGTCTACTCGTGCTTAAAATAACCCTTACATTTTAAAAAATGTAGCATATATGTGCCTCTTGTCAAGTCTGAGTTAATAGACGTTAGAATTTGCTTACGTGGTATGCTGACTCACAATAAACAATTAATATAATGATACATATAATTTAAGTTTTTTTAAAAAAAACTGAGACCTCCATCAATGACGGGAGGTGTGGTCGTGGAAGCGACCACCGGTAGTAGCACCGAGCTGTTGCTGCCTAGCATGTGTTGTACGCATGCAACCTCTCCCGCGTTGATGACGATCTTAGGAGCTTCTGATCCTACCTCAGGTGGATGTGCATCGACCAGTCCGATACTAGGCTCGCAGTGGTCTCTTGGTCCCTCTTCCTCCTTCTGGGTGTCTTCGCCCCAACTGCCTCCCATTTTGTCATCTCCTGCGCCCCCACCTGTCATGCTTACGATATGGTGGTCCAACTCTCTCTCACCTCCGCCTCCGACCTCTCCTACCTATGCCTCTCCGCCTTTGTCTGCCGCTACGGCCTTCACCGCTTCCTCTTCCTCGATAGCTGGTCGACGAGAGCGAGCGGGTGCGGGAGGGCTTCATGATGTCGTGCTTTGTGGGGGAGGTGGCTTACAAGGTATAGTGGTACTCATCGGGATTGGAGCGGATGTCGTTTGTGGTGGCGGGCAGCACCATGGTGAGCGACATGGTGGCATGTGCCCTGGAGCTGGCTAGCTGGATCGATCGGATGTCACTCCAGGGCGCATGCCACCTCCAGGGGGTATGTCTCCGGGGTGTAGTGACATCTAATTGATCTAGCTTGCCAGCTCTACGGCATATGCCACCACGTCGCCCACCACGGCGTTGCCCACTACCACAAACAACACCCGCTCCGATCCCGATGAGTACCACCATATCTTGTAAGCCACCTCCCCCGTGAAGCACGACATCACAAAGACGGAGAGTAGGCGGTAGGAGCAGTTGAACTAGTCCATGTAGCCCTCCCTCACCCGCTCGCTCTCCTCGACCAGCTTGTCGAGGAAGAGGAAGCGACAGAGCCCATAATGACGGACGAAGGCGGAGAGGCAGAGGTAGGAGAAGCCGAAGGAGAGGTGAGGGAGAACTGGACCACCACGTCGTAGGCGCGACAAGTGGCGCATGAGAGGACGAAGTGAGAGGCGGTGGGGACGAAGACGCCCAGGAGGAGGAAGAGGAATCAGGAGACCACTGCGTGCCTAGTGTCAAACTGCTCAATGCACATTCACTTGAGGCCTGATCGGAAGCTCCTAAGCTCGTTATCATCGGGGAGAGGTTGCATGCGTACGACACCCTGCTAGGTACCAGCGGCTTGGTGCTGGTGGTCGCTTCCACGTCGACGCCTCCTCTCACCATTGATAGAGGTCTCAGTTTCCTTTTTAAACATAACTTACACGTGTCATTATATTAATGATTTATTGTGAGTCTGCATGTCACGTAAGTAGACTCTAACATCTATTAACTTAGACTTGACGGGAGGGGCTTACATGCTATGTTTTTGAAAATGTAGGGGTTATTTTAGGCATGAGTAAACCATAAGGGCTTAAGAGGTCCATGGCTAAAACTACAGGGGCTAAAATGGACTTTAATCATAAATTACATGTGCTATTAAATTAATGGTTTATTGTGAATCAGTATGTCACGTAAGCAAACTCTAATGACTGTTAACTCAAACCTGATAGGAGGGGTTTATATACTACATTTTTGAAAATGTAGGGGTTATTTTAGACACGAGTAAACCATAAGGGCTTAAAATGGACCTTAACCCTCTGTAATATGTGCTGATGAATCCATAACAAGACCAAAGAAAAAGTGAAGACAAAAAAAGAAGAAGGAAAAGAGCTACAAATCATCTTGAACAGAAATAAGAGATGGTGTTCTATGCTCCAACGAAATCTTGATACAAGTTGTGTTGACAAATGTCTTCTTCTAGTGTAGAATTTAATAATATTTAAACTGACATAACCAGAATGAAATATGATCTAAGAAAATCTTGATGCAAGGTGTCGACAATGTCTTCTATGATCCATGGAAATCTTGATGCAAGCTGTGTCAACAAATGTCTTCTTTTAGTGTAGAATTTAATAATATGAACCAAGATAGGCAGTGCAACAGTATACACCTCTGTGCTATGCATATAGCTCTCAGGCATAGTAATGACTAATGACAATAAGATGCATCATGGTAGATATTGATCCAAATCATGCTGTTTATTTTCTTAGCCATGTTATTTTTAGTAAGGTTTAATGCTGTGATTGTGATTTTTGTGGTCTTTCAGTATTTATTACTTTCAACTGTGTTACCCTTATGCTGCTGTTGACGTAATCTTTCTCTATTCTTTTACCCTTTTTGCCCTTTTGTTTGTTAGTACCTGTGGTTGGATCGTTTCACAAGTAGATAATTTTTTGGATGAAAATATGATATCATGTGCATAGATATAAAATCATGTTATTGTGTTTTTGTTTAATTATCATGGCTCTTTTATATGTTACATAATCCAACCAAATTTACACCTTTTCCTGCTCTACTTTCAGAACTTGAAGGGAATTGCCTTTGTGGGAAAATACCAGTTGATTCACTTTGTTTGTCATTAGAGAAATGTGTGACCTTGAGCTTAGGACATAGAACTGACATGCTTTCAGCTGTTAATATGCAACCAAGCATTTTGGAGGTATGCCAAATATGACATTATGAATATATCATTTTAAATCATCACATACCTTCCTTTTTTATTGGGACCTATTAGTATAACATAGAATTTCTATTTACTGGTTTCTGGGGAAATTAGTCATGCCATATTTTTTGTATCTTGTGCTTATGCCAGCAGGTTGACTGGTCTGGGACTACCTCCATTGGACACATTTATGTAATTAGATAATATTTTGTATGATTCCATGGTGAGCTTATCTTATGTATATCAGTTCTTGTTGAAAGGACAAGACCTTGCCAATTGATGTGTTAAAATCTCTTAATTGGATATTCTTCACTGTTAAATTGTAGATAACACCGTGGCTAGAGTTTGGAACCCCTAAGTAGTTTTGAAGTGATTCTCTGAAGTTGATCCAAAATTTGGGCAAGATGAAAAATATGATGGTCTTATATTGTTATTTTAATTAAAGAAGCCACAAGATTTGTTGTCTAGACACGTTAGCAGGGTTTTGAATATCGGTCCGTATCGACGTACTGAGCAACGTACCGATATATACCGTCGGTACACTAGGGCGTATCGATGGTACACCCTAAAACCTTAAAAATACCTTCATCTACCACGCCAGGGCGTATCGATCGATATGCCTCAGTAACGATCGAAACCGGGGTGGTACCGGTCAGTACGCCTCGGTACCAATCGGTATGCATCAGTATCGGTTAAAACACTGGTACTGCCCGGTAGAGGATGGTCCACGTACCGGTATCCTCTTGGACCGGTATGTTCTACCCGTACCGGGCGATACACATCGAAATTGAGAACCCTGCACGTTAGTATGATGTCTGGACTTACCAGTGGATGGGCATAGAAACAATCTGTATTTGTGGACATAGAGATGGTTGAATCTCATTCTTTGTAAGGCTTTATCTTGTGATAAGATTCATAACAGTTTGTACTTGAGTAACCTAATGGTTCTTCCCATGTTGGCAGATGTCACATGTGTATTTTCTTGTGCGTACTGAATTGAATGTTACCTTTGGTCTATCTCACATCATAATAGCAATGCAGTATATTTGGCTTGCTTTGGTTAGGATGTGAATCCTTCAAATGTAGAATGTGCACTCCAGCATTCTTATCAATTCTGATTGGCTGGATTGGTGCCTACAAAAGGAATCTGGGTAATGTTGATCATAATATATTGGGATTGTAAAACTAAGGATGTACTCGTGGTCTTGTAGGCTCTGGAAGACAAGAAAACGTAGAGATTAAAGAATGTCGAACTTGGCTTATAATTTAATGTTGTTCTACTTTTAGATATCAAGTGACATTTGGTGGGCTGATATTGAGGGAAAAGGAGAGGAAGGAAAACCTGAATATGACACCAGTTTGAGTTGTCATATGCTAGTTATTAAATACTGTTAAATGTCTGTTTGTCCATTTAACAGCATATATTCCTGTATTTTCTTAATGTAATATGACCAGAGGTTACCTATACGCTATGCTTTTCAGAGGGAATTGCATCTGGCAACCACATAAATTTATTTGTCAAATCTCAGCCTTGTCCAGGTAGCAGCATATACTCCTACATGTAATATAGCATGACCAGATATTACATGCTTTTAAGTTGCATTTGTATGACCACAAGCTTTTTTGTAAGAATGGATGCCAGTTGAGTGGTAGGCCACAAAACGTGCAGATGGCAATAAATTTATTTTTGCGGGCACAGTTACTGGCTTCTTCAGTAAATATGCACCATTCCTTGACTAGCCAAAGTAGTGTCACTGTAAGTCTCGCGCAGCTGGTGCATACGACTGATGCTCGAGTAAACAATACTGATAGCATTTTGCCACTTTGTATTAAGATGCTTGTCGGTCCATATTATGCCATGACACATGGTATTTTTGTCATATTCAGTCAAATCATTGCAATCAGGAACCTTGCTTGCATTTGTTAATCTTTAACATTGCCATGCAAAGTACTGTTTTCTGTTGATGATAAATTAAGCTAGCTTCTTGCCGAATATGGATTTTTTTCTTGGTTGTACAAATTTGATGTACGTTTACCCTTCCCAAACCTCATATTGGTGAGATTCTTATGCATGGGGCCACAAAGTTTGGTTTACATACTAACACTTCAAATATCTTGCAGCCTAAATATTTGGGCAAGAATGACTGCATATTTTTGCAAACTCAAAATATAGATTCAGCGGTAAGTTTATGCTTGATATTAAATGTTTATTTTTATGGTATAGTTTCTGTACTGAGTTGATTTTCTTCATTTAAGAATACCTGCCAAGTTAAAGTCAGCATATGTGCTCAAGAGGTGGGCGCAAGCGAGACATCTCCTTATGACTTTTACTCATATGATGATGTTCCAACATCATCTTTACCTCAAATTATCAGGTAACCAAAAGTTTGTTTGTTTTCCAATATTTAGTTTATTTTTTTCCTTTATTTGGATGGTAGTATCTCACCTGCCACAAGGGTTTGCCAGCTTTATGTGTTGTACTATGACATTGTTGTACCAGCTTTTAGTAAGTGGCAGGGTGCATGCTCATAAATTGTTGCAAGTCCATGCATGGGAATGTAATCAGCATGTCAAAGGCATAATTCCCTGTTGTGTCAATATCTGTATCTGATGGTTTGCTTATGTAGAAGTTTTTGTGAACTTTAGATGTCCTGAAAGGGCATCTACACAATTATCATTTTCTTGTGTATCAACTAAATGATTGTTTTCATATGTCATACTCTATTGCAAAATAAAATTTATCTTCTTTAATTTAGTCCAGTGATTTCAATAGGCGCTCGGGCGAGGCGAGGCCCGAGCGCCTCGCTTCATTTCCAGGCGGCGGGCTTCAAAGAGGCGTCGCCTGGGCGCTCCCCCGAGCCCAGGCGCCGAGCTCTTCGGGCGAGTGCCCGGGTTAAACCAAGTGACTGAACCATCGTTTTAGGTTCGGTTTGGTCTCCGGTGCTTTAGTTGGTTCAATCGAACCAACTAAAGCACCGATATCAACCTTCCTCTCGCGACTTCCCAACCCTAACCCTGCTCGTCGCTGCCGCTGCTCGTTGCTACTGTCGCTGCTACTATCGCTACTCGCCTCTCCCACTCCCATTGCTCGTTGCTACCACTGCCGCTGTCGCTGCTCCCGCTGCTACCGCTACCGCTGCTCGTTGCTACCGCTGCTCGCTGCTACCGCTGCCACTATCGCCGCTCCTGCTCCCGTTGTCACTGCCGTTGCTCGTCGCTACCGCTGCCGCTGCCACTATCACTGCTCATCACTCCTGCTCCCGCTGCTCGTTGCTACCGTTGCCGCTGCCACTGTCGTCGCTCGCCACTCTCGCTCCCGTTGCCGCTTCTCGCTGCTATCGCTGCCGCTGCCACTATCGCCGCTCGCCTCTCCCGCTCCCGCTGCCGTTGCTCGCTACTACCTCTTCTCACATCGACTCGATAGTATATTGTTAACAATATATTAACAGTATACTGTTAACTGTACACTAGTAACAATATTTTTTTATATATTAGATTAATAATATATTATTTTGATTTTAATACTGCTAATTTTTATTTATTTAAAATTATTGTTTTTTTTGAATTTTTAGATTTTTTGTTAATGTGATATTATGATTTTATAAGATTTTTTAATTTAATATCATATTTTAATTTAAATAATATTATTTATTAATTATATTATATATTTTTATATTTTAGCGTCTCGCTTCACTCGGACGAGCCCCTAGCGCCTCGGGCGTTTTTGGAACTTGGTGCCTTTTAGCGCCTGACGCTTTTTAAATCATTGATTTAGTCAAGCTTTCATTTACTAATGTCATTTTCCGTTGTAGCTAAAAATGGTTTACAATTTTGGCTGGTTGCTGTGGTTGGTGCTGTAAATGCTGCTCTTTAAAAAAGTGGAGTCCAGCATCTAAGAACAGAAAATAACAAAAGGTTTAGGGCTTAATTCTCCATCAAGATTAAGTATAGTGACTAATGCTGCTGCATTACAGCTTTTCTACAATTATTGGTTTTCCATGAATTCATGCCTTTTTTTTTCCAGTCGACTTTAGAAGCATAGGTTGCCATGATGCAGGATCTGATTCAACTTCTAAGTTTTTACTGTATTTAAGTGGTTATCTGTGGCATCCACATTAGTTCTCCAGAGGTGACAATAGCTGCAAAATGTGAAGAATCAGAATATATACAAACTTCAATTGGATTTTCTATAGTTGTTTTGGTTTCAAGCATTTTTAAGTAGTGTTATGATAATATCGGTTACCTGCTTTTTTCCTTTGTTAAACCTGTCGGCTTTTTATGTGGCTGTTTTGAGAGAGTACTGATGCATTAGTCAATCAAGTCCCTGGTTAATTACATCTGAAGTTGGATTTCTGCTTTATCTTTTATGCTAAGAGTTTAGCCACCAAAACAATCTAACATTTGGTCTATGTATTGCTCCTCAAAAATTTTATGGCAGAGGGTATATTAATATTGTCAATTTAGCTGTCGTATGTTGTTTTATGTCCATGACATTCTTGTGCTGGAAGTTATCTATATTTGCCTTCTATATTTCTTTCCTAATCAGTCTATCTACTTTGTAGATTGAGGATGGGGAATGTTCTGTTTAACTATAGATACTACAACAACATGCTGCAAAAAACTGAAGGTGATCTCTCTTTGGTCATTGTTTTATAGTACTTGTGGATATAGTTGCTTTCTGGTGGCATTGTACTCGTAGCCTTAATTTGTCACTACTATTTTTATTTATCATAAAAGGTATGTGGAAAGGGTAGCTGTGGTGATTTTGATGTATCCTGGAGGGACTCATGTATTGACTAGTGTAGTCTCCTGAAATACCTTGTATTTTAGTGCAGAATTGTGTTACTTACCATTTTGTGATTCCCTACTAAAATCACAATACTCAAAAGTATTGTGATATTTAAAAATGCAAATATGAAAATGCATTGCATATGCTGTCTAATGGAAAGTAGTACAAGGATTATAGTAGCAACAAAACTCAAAAGCCTAATTTTGCACAGATTTTGAAATCGGAATCCGTATTGGTTTCGGCCAGCGACTATAAAATTGGTTCTGGCCGGATTGGAATTGGTATAAAGAAGAGAAGTTACACTATTTTTGGCTGTTTTTAGTTGCTCCCTTAACCTTAAACGACAGAATTTGGAGCAACTAAGGGGCTGTTTCAGCAAGAAGTGAGCCTTGCTTGTCCTCATGACTTTTGCATACCTAATCTACCACCTCCAAAAGTGTTATGTTCCCAAGGGATCGGTGCAGTTGAAGCATCTGCACTAAAATTTATAATGAATGCTTCAAATACAGGTCACACTGATACATTTGTATCTATTGACTTGATCAAAGGCCATAGCAGACCAAATGGCTCAGTAATAGTTGGTAAACATTTTTAATTATTTTTTCTGTCATAGTGGGTGGTACTGGTTGATACTTTGTTTGATAGGCCAGTAACATACTACTTTAAGGTGTGAAAACTGGGATTGGGTTGAGATTTTAATCTTGTCTATTACACCATTGCTTCCACCTACATCTCATTGAGAGGTGTGCTTAGATAATCTACGTTTAACAATCTCCTTCACGAAAACTTTAATCCTAATTATGATTTTTTGTTCTGTATTCTCTCTTTTTTTGGATAAATTAATTGTTCCTTCATGGCTTGTTAATATATTAGAATTTGAAGTTTGTTGAATTCCAAAATTGGAGGTAAAGTAACGGGCTTGTTTATGGTTAAACTAATTGTTCCTATTGCTAGTTTTTATTTATATAGTTTCCTCTCGCCTATTTTTTCTATATTTGAACTCATCATTCCTTGTATCTTTTGCCCTTTATTTTCAAGTTTTTGAACTATTTTGTTTCCATTTGACAGTTACGGAGGACTTCTCTTGTCCTTTTTGTTTGGTGAAGTGTTCAAGCTTTAAGGTATTTTATGTATGTTGGTTTAAAAATCTATATTGCCTCTATTTTAGGTTTTATCTGTAATATTTTGGTGCTGTTTCTGCAGGGGCTGAGATATCATTTGAATTCTAATCATGACCTTTTCAATTTTGAGTTCTGGGTTGGTAAACTTTTGGAGTCTTCTTAATACATTATTATCTTGAGCATTATATATCATCTGGCTGACATTTTCTCAGGTAACCGAGGAGTATCAAGCTGTGAATGTTTCTGTGAGGACTGATATTTGGAGATCAGAGGTTTTTAACAATCATCAGAACCTTCATTTGATATCATGCGGCTTTAGTTATTTGCTTATTTAGCATAATCTATAGCCGAGTGACCGTGCTAAGCAATAAGCTTAGGTGGTTTGAAGATCTGATATAAAAATATTATTTGTTGGTGCCATCTGGTTTTTCCCCATTGTTCAAGACTTACCAGATTGGATCATTGTAGAAAAAGAACTCAAGTGTATCATATTCTCTTAAAAATATAGTAAAAAATATATGAAAAGAAATTGAAGGCTCTTAATTTGTCTAAAAGATGGTACTATTATAGGTACAAAACAATATACATGAACAAACAATATGCACATCCCATCTTACTGTTCCTCATTGTTTTCCCTTTTCTACATTTTCCTTTGTCTTCTGCCTTTTATCTTCTCGTCAATTTGATGATAATTCATGCTGGGAACAGTTAAGAATAAGCGGAGGTAGGACTAGTAATTACATGTTGGAGGGTAGGTCTGGCTCATTCTTGGTCCAGATTGGATGTTGCAGATTGGGCTTCCATAATTTTTAAGATCTTGTCCATTACTTAGGTTGTCAGCCGCCACACTTCAAAATGACATAGACCAGCACTTCAAATCTTTAACCTCTGTATGTAGCTACAACCATTACTATTGGGATATGCAACCAACAAATCATCCCAGCCAGCATATCCAAAATTATGAATTATGTACCATCTTGACTTTTGACATTGCTAACAAAGCAAGTTAAATCAAGGAATCTAATGGAAAATCGATGACATCAGAATGTGCAGGAAACTTGTAATATTGCACATAGAAAATAATCAAATTAAACTCCTGATTAAACAAAACAATCCATCCAAATTGATTGAACAAACCCTTTGGACAATTTTATGAACAATGACTCTAAATGGACAAATGATTTGCTACAATTTTGAAGTGCAACCTACATATAACTGGTAAACAGTTTCAAATAAAAAAAATGTAAAGAGAATGGATAAATTATACAACTAGAAGGTTCAGGGTGCATTGATATGGTATGTAACATGGTGTATTGCAACATGTACCAAAGGGTACCAGATTTAATGCTCGTCTTTCATTTTGCTTTTTTGGATGGTTTGTTGCAAAAATCTGTAATAGATGATAAGATGAGGGCTCAGAAATGTCAGCAAGCTGTAATCACCAAAGAAACACCTGTGCACCTTCCACCTTCCTTTATATTCATTTCTGTTTCCAGATTCCCATGCCAAAAAGGAAATTGCCTACTGGCCAATGCCTTGATAAAAATAAGAATACCGGGTGCCTTCCATAACAAGCATGGACATAAACAGGAAGGGGAGATAAAGTATTGTCCTTTTGTCACAAACTGTGAAGATATGGTCAAATGTTGATATTGCATGATACAGATGTCTGGCTCTTCTGAATCATGGAAGTTCTAACTCACAACTGCCTTAGCTGTAAATGTAACCCTTAAACATCTGCAGGGTGAATTACCAGTTTGCCTTGCTTCCAGTATGGCATTCAACTTAGCTTCTTATTATGCTTTTGTCAGTCTTTAGTGCCACATCCCAGCTTTTAAAAGTTTCTTATGATCAATCCTAACTTGAGAAACCTTTTGAATTTATTTACTTATTTTTATGATATCTGCAGGTTGCATCAGATGGAGTTGATCCTAGGCTGCAAACTTTTTTTTATTGGTGGTCCTTTTTTTAATTTATCTTAGCTCTTGTTTGTCTTTCTATAACTTATTTCAAGTTAACGGAGTTATTTCAACTGACAAGTGAGTTCTACTGCAGCTCAAACTTCATGAGAAGTAGAAGATCGAAGAATAGTGTTCAGACTGCAAGTCATGTGCATCCACATGTTTTGGAATCAGGCTTGCCTGAAGCAGCTTTAGAAGGTTCTCGTGAAGATTATGATAACAAAGACAATGGAACATGCTCCTCTCAAAGGCCTCATGCATATACAACGAGTGCTTCGCTTACAAATGGATGTGATGGTACGTGCTGAGTTTAGTTTTGTGATCGCATATCTGTGATGCCAGAGTAAGCATTATGGAACAGATGGTGGCTCTTACAAAGATGAACAACAAAACACAACTATTATTTAGTGGAACTCACTTCCTGTGAGACATAAATCTGAAAGCAATCTGAAAGCATCAGTTCACAGATTCGTTATGCTGCAGGGTGCACAAGACATATATTATCTTGCCCTGATACAATAGGTGCATGTGTTGTGACAACTCAAGGTTCTACCAGCAATGATTCTGGTCAGCAAGCATCTGGAAATAATCTAGCATCACAAAATATGCTGCAGTTTTCTAAGATGCGAAAGATATCTGATGAACGAGCTGATCCCAGAAAGTTGGTATCTATCTCATTTTAATTATTTATCGAGAATGAAAATGCATATTCTCATTTACAATGCACTCCTTTATTTGGTGTGTTATATTAGTTGCCACAATAAGATTATATCTTCTTTACCAATCCTCTTCTTTTCACAGTCGTGCTCTGCTACAAAAACGTCAGTTCTTTCATTCTCATAGAGCTCAGGTGATGCACAATCCCTCCTTCCTGATTTCTTCATTTTTTTCGCTTATCTACTTAAACTTCCTATTAGTGGTTAGCAATGTTTTGTTCTTATAACTCATGATACTTTTTAAGTTGCCACCTGATTTACTGCAACACCCAAAATTCTGGTACCTCTTCCCCCTTGTGCACACTGGATCATTGTGTTATGGCTGTTTTTCCTGAATAGCTCTGTCAATTTCAGGAAACTTAGAAATTTGTGTTTTTTTGGACATCTCATTTGGGAGGTAGTGTTTGCTAATTGAAATGGATTTTCTTTAACAAATAAAAGAACAATCATATAGAAGATTGTTATCATTTCTTATAGTTTGAGCAAGAGTAAAATGGTTCTTTGAAAATAGAGAAAACAGATATATCTGTCATCTTCTTATTAAGGTATTGCGTTAGTTAGGTATGTTACAATATTCATATATGAATTGAGCCTGGTGGGCTGTGCAAACTGCATGCATCAGTCATAGGTTTGGAAACTCTGCCTGTATTGGACGATGCTTATTTGTTATAATAGCACTTCCTATTACCACTTTTAAGGTTGCAGTGATGTCTTCATTTTCCACTTACATTTAAAGAGCATGGTTACTTAATGGTTTTGAGTATTTGTGACGAGGATTAATTGCCATTAATGTTTTCACATAGAGGACTTCAAGATAGGTACTAAACCCAATAACTAGTTCGGTAATTTATTGAAGTCTTGGTATAGTTACTTGGACAGAAGCTAATCTGTGCCTACCGGATCTCTCAACAATGAAGACATTTGAGTTGAATCACATAAGAAGCACAAAGCTGAGCACATTTAACACTCGTATATTATTTTCTCCATATGCATTCAATGGAGAATTCAGAGAATTGATACCACTATAATGTTTCTGCTCGGGAACAAAACCGAACAGATGGAGGGATGGAAACTAGTTGGATATGCGGAAGTATAGGAAAAGAGGGAGAGAGTGAGAGAGAGGAAAGGCATAAGTGAGATAGGTAGCAACAAATAATTGTGGATAGAAAAAGAACAAGAATGAAGAAATATTAGCAGTCCACAAATGGCTTTTAGAGCGATGAAGATTAGAGTTAGGAAGGAATGTAGATTAAGAAGGTGCATACCTTAATGATGATAATAATTCATGAGGCTTGTGGTATTTGGTGGCAAATTATTGAGCTAGTTGATTCTGTTACATTGGATTTATTGTCGGTGCTTGAATTTAACTTTTTTTCATCTCAAGAATGCTTAGGGGACCTGATGATATTCTTGTTGAGGCCTGAAAAATTTTAGGGGATAAGGGAGTAGCTTGGTTAACTAGCCTATTTAACAAAATCATGATATTTAGAAAGATGCTTGATGAATGGAGAAAGAGTTTTTTAGTATCAATTTATAAGAATAAGGATGACATATAAAATTATTCGAATTATAAAGGAATTCAATTCATGAGATTTTGGGAAAGAATTATCGAACGTAAGATAAGGTTTGAGACAAATATCTCTAAAAATCAATTTGGTTTTATGCCTAGAAGATCAACCATAGAAGTTATTTGTTTATTAAGAGAATTAATGAAAAAGTATAGGGAGAAAAAGAAAGATTTGTATATTATTTTTATTGACTTAGAGAAAGCTTATGATACGTTTCATAAAGATTTATTATAGTGGATTTTAGAAAAGAAAGATATATCAACTAATTATATTATTGTTATTAAACATATATATGATAATGTAGTTACTAGTATTACAACTATAGAGAATGTGTCTCGTGAGTTTCCTATTAGCATAGGATTACATCAAGGATCCGTATTAAGTCCTTACCTTTTCACATTGATAATAACTAAATTTATTAGTCACTTACATTATATACCTCTCTTGTGTATGTTATTTGCTGATGATCATCTTAGTTGATGAAAGCTTAAATGTAATTAATTATAAACTTTGAGCTATGGAGTCAATTCTTAGAAACTAAAGGTTTTAGATTAAGTAGGATTAAACTTGAATATATGAGATGAAATTTTAGTAATTCTAGGAATAGACAAGAGATTATAGTTAAGTTGGATGGACAATAAGTCCGTTTAAATAAAATCTTTAGGTATCTTAGACCAATCATTCAATGAAATGGAGAGATCGATGAAGATATTATTCGTAGAGCAAAAATAAGATGGTTAAAATGACGAGGGGCGTTAAGATTAAAAGAAAAATTTTATAAGAAAGTTGTGAGACTAAGAATATTTTGTAGATCTAAGTGTTGAGTAATTAAGAAACAACATATACAAGAAGTTTTTGTTGTTAAGATGAGAATACTAAGATGGATATGTAGAATTACTGGAATAGAAATACTTTTATTCGTGAACAACTAAGTATTGCTTCAATAGAGGATACGATGAGAGAAAATCGTTTAAGATGGTATAGGCATATGCTTTTAGCAGATCTCTGGAAACGATAATCAAAAGAAATGAAATGATTAATGTTAGTGGTACGATAACAGGTAAAAGATCCAAAAACAACTTTAATAGTAACTATAAATAAATATTTAAGTACTTTAAATTTAACTAAACATATAACTTTTACATATTTCAATAGCGGCAAAAGATTCATATAGTCGATCCCAAATTGTTGAGACTTACGATTTTATTGTTGTTGTTGTTGTTGTTATTGTCAAGAATGCTTGATGATGGAGAAGCCAATCCCTTAAGTTGAATGGCATTCAATGGGCTTTTCTAAATTGTACAAGAGGGTTCTATTAAGCTTATTATGACCCTAGTGTTGATGCTAAAATATATAGGTTCCGTTTTAAAATTATTATTACATCATTAAAAAGCCAATTTTATTGACCGCATGGCAAATTCTGTGTGATTTGAAACATGAATTGCTTAACTAGCAATGTCTCTGAGGAGTAGAAGTTCATCTTAAGGAGTATATTTCCAGTTGTGGTTCCTGGTGTGTTGTTTATCATTTTTTCCTAATAAAAATAGAGGCTATGCTTGGACTTACTGGCTTTTGACCTTCACTGAAATTGCAGTACTTTTATTTTGCATATAGGTTATTTCACTTCACTTGATCTACTTGATATTCACTATATACTAAAATACTTTTCATTCATATTTATTCTAGTCATGTAGATGAACCTTGGTTTCATGTACTTAACCATATATTGTGATTACCGGTTTTTTTTTTTTTGAAAGGTATGCACTATGTATAAAATAGGTTAATTTTCTGCATATTTTCATGGCCATCCAGTATTTGATATACACGTCTGCTAAGTTGAGTTTGTAACTTATACATAGCAGCCAATGGCATTGGAGCAAGTATTTTTAGATCGGGATAGTGAAGATGAAGTTGATGATGACATTGCTGATTTTGAAGATAGAAGAGTAAGATATTGTCTGTCTGGGCATTCCTCTTTTCTCGCTAGCAATTTTACTTCATAGGAAATGCAGATAAATAAGCAAATTATTTTTGTTTTCTAAAGAGGTCATATTTTTGTGCATTTTTATCCGAGTTAGTCTCCTTCAGGGCCCTATCATTTCTCATATGGTTGTTGTCTAACCATATTAGATGATAATGTTCGTTGTTCATATACTTTTAAAATTTTATTGCTTCTGTAATGAGCCATAAGACAATGCAGATGCTTGATGATTTCGTGGATGTGACGAAGGACGAGAAGCAAATAATGCATCTGTGGAATTCTTTTGTTCGGAAACAAAGGTATTTCTTTACCTGCTTTAGCCAGTTATTTTTGTTTGAAATAATGTCTTCCATGATTTCAATAAACTCAGTTAAGATTTCTTTTATTATTCTTTTTTATAGTATGATCGAACTAAGTGTACACACACAAACATGGAAATATTACTTTGTATCTATTAAACTGGCTGTTACATTACTGCAGAAGTATTTGGCTTGACAGATTTGGTCAAATATTTGTGTCTAGGTACCATATAAGGAAATGTGGAATTGTTACTGTAATGTATCTACTATTTGGGCTGTATGGATTGTTTTCCACTATTGAGATTTGTACAACACAATATATCTAATAAAATCAAGAGCATTCCTATTTCTTTTCGTTGTCTCCTATAAAATATTTATAAATCTTCCTTTATTTTTCCTCGCACAACTGACACTAATTGACTCGCCTTGTTTAACTACAACATTTATAACTCTTCGTTGAACATGAGTTGTTCATTTTTGTTGGTTCTCCCTTTGTTGATCCTTTGTCATTTCAGTTTTAATCCTACTAAGCCTCGACTGGAATAGTCATATATATTATTTAATTCTATACTTTTGAAAAATAGTTGTGTAATTGTCAGAGATGAAATTTTTATGATGGATATATATAATTCTGTATATATGTAGGTAGCAAATTAGATACATACAACAAAAGTCCAAACTATATGCATATTGCCCAATATTTAACATGTAAAGCATTTGGTGAATAATTTGTGTCCTGCATTATATTAAATATAATATATTAAATAAATGCTATTGGTACAAGGGTCGTAAGATGTTTTGAATTACTTGACATGACACTTGTCAGGAAGTGTACCACAAGAGTCATAATATGTTTTGAACTACTCGATATTGACTAGAATATCGTTTTGATGTATCCTTGGTTTATAGTTAATTGTTGAATTGCGAAGACTGATAGGCTACTTAGTACCTGATCAGACATGTTATCTCCTTTCTTTCTGTCACTAGAATTGGAGATGACCTTTGGATGCCGCATCTTGCATGGCCAGCATTCAGAGTGGTGGACTTACCATGTTTTGGTGAGGCACAAGTCATCCTATTATTGTTTTTTCTAAACAGTGCTGCCTGAACATAACCTTACCCCGCAAGGGGGGTAAGTACAACCAACAAGGCCTGATAGGTGCACAAGGCACCAAACAAATGCTACAAAGGCAAGAAACACATAAGGATTTAGCAATGGGTGCACAAAGTGCCATTACATGTTTTTTGTTTTGAAATCGAGTCAATATGTCATCTGCTATGTGAATTTATTATGCAAAGGAGATAATAATGGTGATCCCTTGAGATCGAATGGCAGACTGGAGTTCAGAGTAGTGGAGGTTGAAAGGGGTGGAGGATGGAACCATCAACTGTTGAAAAGTCAACCATGTGGCTGGTGACTCGCCACAATTGACTAGGTGGTACCCATCTGGCATGGTGATTGACATGGTTACCAGAGGCCTTGTACTATTAGTTTCTTTCCTGGGACCAAATCTTTTGCCCAAACTTTGTTATTCAGGGTGTACACTTTTGTTTCCCGGTAAACCTAAGTGTAAACTTAATATCTAACATACATATTGGCTTTGGTGTCCCTCCAGGGTTCTGGCTGATGGTCACATATCATGGGCTTGTGAGGCATTCTCTCAGATTCACGGGCAAGAGCTTGTGCGATCTCCAGCTTTAATGTGGTATGGCTCAGTCAATCAGTAATGCTGAATTGTTCATGCATATGGTTATGCTAGCACATTTTTCTTTCCTTATTCTTGCATGCTAAAAGTGTCATTCAAGTTCAACTCCCTTTTTGGTGCCTTAATGAACTCATTCACTAGGATTAAAAAAAAAAACGTCTCTGATCCTGCTTAGAGATGGATGCTATTTCTTCTGATGAGAACTACTGACGTTTTGGGCTGAGTCTTACCAGCTAATTTCGTAGGCATTCTCTGTAAAATGGCTGTCTCATCCAATGCTGGCTTTTGCTGTTTGTCTGATACATATTGCTGTGTGGTTTTCAATATGTTTCCTGTAGATTTCATTTCAATATTTGCGGTCAAGGAAGTTGTGACTACTCAAATGACATCTGTTGCATGCAGGTGTTGGAGGTTATTTATGATCAAACTTTGGAATCATAGTCTCTTAGACGCACGCACCATGAACAATTGTAGCTTAATACTCGAAAGAAATCAAAATGAGGCCTTGGGCGCCAAGCAAAACTAAGATCTGGGAGACCAGTGAGGAACCAGAATTACTTCGTGCTAACTTACACCCGTACCATTTTTTGGAAAGGTTTCCTATCTGATTTGTTTCTATATTGATGTAACTTCTTTGGGGTATTATTGTTTACAATCATAGTGTTGCCAGGGGAGAGAAAAGGCCTTCACTAGCCTGCAATTGTCACCTTATATGAATGTTCGCATATTCTTTCAGCTCAGAAGGGCAAGTAATATTGCATAATTTATCGATATCGTGGAGAATTCTTACCATTCATAATTAGAATATAGAAAGGTTGACTATTTGGTTATCCTCAAAATTGCCCTTTTTTTTTCTTGATATTGAATTATGATTCAAGATAATATCTCTGATTGAATTTAGAGCATCCGGATCTCTTTGCCTTATTGATAGTAAATCTTTTCCCATAATTTATTTTCATTCTATTCATGCTATTTTAGATGATTATCTCTCTTAAATGTAACAATCTCTTATTGTATCTTTTCATATTGCCTTGAATACTCACTCTGTAACTATCACCTCAGCTATTCTACTCTGCTCTATATTTATTTTACTTATAATTATATTCTATATGTTATATTTTAATAGGTTTGTTAGACTCTCAAATTGACATTTTGTTCTCAACCATTTCACTTGGATGGAATTTGGGATCACATCGAAGCAGTATGACACAAAATTCAAACTTGAAAGCAACCATTCTTGTGTTTACAAATGTGAAATATTTCCAGCTCACAACAAGTTGACATTGACATAGAACAAAAGCATTACACTTTTAACACATGCCGACACAAGGTTGACAAAAGATTTCCCTATCTTCATAGATTTGGCAGACCCAATCAAGCACCGTTGAAACTTGGCTAAAGTCAATGGTGCAATTGTGATCCATATTTCTTCCTATAAATAAGATACAAAATAAGAAGTGCATGCACGCATAAAGAGGGCATCCTTTCAATGTTTTCTACTTCTTTATCTCATCAAGTACAAATATTAAGAAAAAAAACTTGTTTTATTCTTAATCTCATCCAAGTTGATTGCATATCCACAGATTGATCAGATATAATAATAACACATGGTTTGACTAAGATTCATCCGTATCTAACAACTTCTGAATTTTTAGATTCGGTGATGTGCCGGCCCAACGTTTAATCTGTACCTCCAATCATACAATATAATATGTACGTCAGTTGCTTGAGCTTTCAAGAAATGTTCTTGTGTGCTGGCATTACATGTTTAACATAGTAATGCATATGGAAATTGACTAATTAACGAAGCTTTCTACTTAGACCAAAATGATACGATCCATACAATCTACACAATAATAATATTGCAGTCTTAAAAATGACCACATTCTCATCTACATGCAACCATATCGATGGTTCCAACAGCTGGTGTTAGTCGATGGCAAATCCAAATCCACAAGCTTCGCATTTCAGGTGTTCTTTTCATCCACCGGAGCTCGACTTTATGTCGAAGACATTGCGAATCTGGAATTGCTTGCCAAGAAAGATTGAATGTGAGATGCATTACCCGCCAACCACAATGTGAGATGCATGCACAGGCATGATTAGCACAGGAAACAACAAGATGTGTTTTCTGTGACAGTTCTCAGCTCCCCATGTGAACAGAAATATAGAAGAGAAGGAAAACACAAATGTGGATCACTTAGTGCCATGCCGGCTTAAGCTGATGAATTGATTTGATTCGGTGGCTAAAGACTCTTGTTCTTGCTGTTCTTCTTACACCAAAGTAATGTTCGAATAAAAGAAAAATTACAGACAAGAAAAGAAGTAATATTAGGAGGATTCCATTCCAGCCTATGAACACAAAAAAAGCCCCTTCACACCAGCAAAGGCTGCAGCATAAAGAATGAATGAAGCCTTGTCTTTCCCATTTTAATTTCCATGTATGCATGCTTCACACCCATCTGACCAAAGACTGAAGGCACTGAGCATTCAAAAGCTTGAGACTAATTCCATACCCCATTAGAAGAACTTATCCAAACCTGCAACATAGTCTGTTTCTTTTACTGCAAAAATGCTTTGTTTGCTCCAACACCTATTCGATCTGGCACATGATGAACCAGATTTCAACATCCTGTGTTTGGGAAAAGGATATGAATTAGTGACTTTTCAGGTTATTGAGTGCTTGACTTTGGTGTAGGAAGCACACCATTCTTCCCAATATATTGCTATTGTGAGACTTGCTCAACCAGTTCTTAATTGCTTGTTTTGATCTTTTTTCTTCATGTTATGATTGATGTTTCACCAATTTGATCTCCAACAAAGTTCTTAGAATAATAAACAACACTAGAAACTTCAAGTAGATTGTGTGCAGTGTGTTTGATTGTTCTCATCAATCATGCTTAGATGCCTCTCTTACATGTCTACATAATGATCGATTACACAGATCAACATCAGCTGATATCAAACTATAAAAGAAATCTGCAAAGCTCAGACCATTTAAATAAGGAACAAAAATTAGGAGTGATGAGATGATCAACGGTCCTCTTTAGATGAATCAGAGGATGACAAACATTGTCAGATAATTTTAGCAATGAACAAAGAATTAGATCTCACTGATATCTATCTATATAGAGCTTGATGTTTAAATCAGCAAATCCATACTGAATCACTCATTCGATGATCACAGGTTTCTTTTTCTCTCATCATGCCTTTTGTTTTCTCTCTCAATCATTTTCCTCACCAACCTTCAATTTCTCTTTATTCTTTTCCCGCATCTGAGGATTAAGATTCTCTTAATTATTATTCCAACTCGATGGATCCCATCACTTGCTCGATGGATGTGACCACGCCACCTAATGCAACAAAATGATACACCTGCAAAAGTTTCCATTATTCAAAATGATGATATGAGTAATAATAAATAGCATCAGCTATAATTATTATTATTATTATTATCATCATGCAGGATGATTGGCTTTGTGTAAGGTCAGTACGCTCTGTGGCAGTAGCAGAAGCTTCGGCTATAGAGATACCATTTCACCAACCCACCCCCGTCTCTCTCTCGGTCTCTCTCTCTCTCTCTGCTTCGGCCGATGATCTTTTCCGAACCCCAAAATCATGTCGTCTTTCAGCCATTTTGTGCACGATACGTGTACCTAAAGTTGGTCATCGCCATGTCTGCATGATTCCACCATCTTAAAGCTTCATGGAAGGCTCCTTTTAGGTGTCCGAGAGGCGAGCAGTAATGGCGACATCATCAACAACCGCAGTTCTAGTTTTCTGTTGTTTAAATATTGTCCTTCAAACATGGCAAGCGCTCGCGTCTTCTCTCCACCAGTAGGACATGGCTTATATTTACTCCCCCTGTCTTCGTCAAGAACGCGGAATGGACTCGGCCAAATGTGTGGAAGAAGTCGGCAACCCCTTGCGACACTTGGACGTTGTACATAAGGAACAGTTTGTAGAGTTATCGATCAGATATGTATCTCCTTTTCGTCGTCAGGAAAACATGAGACAGAGACCCAAAGACGTGTTTATACGGTCAGTATTTTGTTCCATCTCATACGAATTTTCTCTGTTTCTTCGAAAGTAATTGGAATATCGAAAAGACCTTCAGCGGAACCCGTGACATGGGCTCATGACCTGTAAGATTCGCGTGTTCTTCTCCCACTGATTAAGACTCGCTAGTTGTTGTGATCTGTGACCTCCTAGCTTTTAATATATACATATATATATATATATACATGAATATATATCTGCAAGAAATTGCAATGAATTGGACGTCATATATGAGGAGGGAACGAAGAAAATGACGCATATGAGGCGTAAGTTGCAGTCTTCGCAAGGACTCTTGACGCTATATCAACTACTTGTGAACTCCAAACTGGAAACCGAATCTAGAATGGACGGGGGAAGGAGATCGATAAGCCTCTCCGTTTACCACTACACAAGAGGCGATCAATTCTTTTTCCTCTGTTCTGTCACAAACTGATATATGTATGTAAAATATAAGGGGAGAGAGAGAGAGAGAGAGGTTCCCGTCGGAAAAAGAAGCCTTTTTTTTTTTTCTTGTCTTTTGGTGGTGGTGTTGATGGGGAGTTGCTGGTCCTACTTCCGGCAGGAGAGCCACCCGGCGGAGAAGCGGAGCTACCAGAGCCAGCCGCAGCAGCGACGCCTGTCCTTGTCGCTCAACCAGGCGGCGGCCGAGGGCGGTGGGCGCGAGGTGCCGGCCTTCTCCCAGTTCTCCTTCGCGGAGCTCAAGGCGGCGACCGACGGGTTCAGCCCGCAGAACATAGTCTCCGAGAGCGGTGACAAGGCCCCTAATGTCGTCTACAAGGGCCGGTTGCAGAACCGCCGGCGGATCGTCGTCAAGAAGTTCGCCAGGACCGCCTGGCCCGACCCCAAGCAGTTCGCCGTCGGCCTCTGTTTCCCTGATTTTAGTTCAATTACTTCGTAACTTGTTATTGCTGGATCGGTCTTGTTATTGACAGGGAAAAAATTGTTCCTTTGCGTGATTTGCAGGAGGAGGCATGGGGAGCTGGGAAATTGAGGCACAGGAGGCTGGCAAATCTGATCGGATACTGTTGCGATGGTGAGGAGAGGCTTCTTGTGGCCGAGTACATGCCCAATGATACTCTTGCTAAGCATCTCTTCCACTGTATGTATGCTCACCACTCTGTTTTTGTCTCTTTGGTTCGAATTGTAAAAGTCTGCTAGTTATTATGCTTTTTGAATTGGAGATCGATATGGTAGGAAGCTGTCTTTTGCAATTTATTTAGAGTTTGGAGTTTTCGTTGAACATCTAATATATTTAGAAGTTGGTCAACTAGTGCACAATTGTCAAGTATGAGATTTGTGTATATCAGGTTAAAACAGCGAGTTGCTTGTCAAAGATCGAAATTAAAATTTTGATGATAGAGTACTAGATGTAATTCAATTTGACCCCATTAGAATCTAGTTGACAAGAATATAATACCTCAGTGCTTTTAAGAGGTACAAATGGTAAAGAAACAAGTAGAATGAAAGAAAAATGTGTTGCATTTTATCGTTAACTACAATTAAGAAATATCCAATACAATTTGTTGGATAGTCAAGTAGTTCCATTAGGCAAATAAGTAGGCTTCATGACATGACATAGATATGATCTTCAACATCCTATATAATCAGTTCTTATTAATTAGCAATTGTTTCGGCTCCTTATTTTTCATCTTTAGTATGATGTAATTGTGCTGGTGTATGGATCCATGGTCGTTTATCTTTTTTTCTGGACAGGGGAAAATCAAAGCATTGAATGGGCTATGCGTTTGAAGATTGCTTTCTGTATTGCTGAAGCATTGGAGTATTGTAGCAACCAAGGATGGCCACTATATCATGACTTAAATGCCTACAGAGTCCTTTTTGATGAGGTGACCTATTTACTTCTTCTGAAAGAACCTTTTTTTAAAGTAATTGTTTTGTTGACATTGTAGGTCGACTAGTTTAAAGATTTTATATGTTGTGTGTCACCTGTTACTTATTTATAATGTAAAGAGTTGCTAGACAATCATGTTTTTTGTCATATTTAGACTTGGAAATAATTGATTTCAATGCAGTTTCGACTGCTACTCAAACTGAAAATTTTGTATATATATGCAGGGTGGTGATCCACGGCTTTCTTGTTTTGGTCTCATGAAGAACAGCAGGGACGGAAAAAGTTATAGCACTAACCTAGCATACACGCCACCAGAGTATTTGAGAAATGGTATTTCCCTACTGTTTCTGAAGAGATTTATTTAGTTCATCTTATCTGAAGCTTGTATATCTCTGTATGTAGCAGTTTCAAGTTTATGTACGTTCTTTCAGTTTCTACCGAAGCCAGTCTGTGGCAAGCATAGAAAATTACATCCTTTGACACTGGGTATATGTGAATGTTAATTGCACATCTGGTGGACACAGTAATATGTAGGAAAAGATTAGCATATTTCTATGATCAATTAAAATTCACAGAAATTCATTTGTGTTTGTCTCCTACTGTGTAAATTGTGGTCAAATCTGAAGGAGATGATTTAGAGGAATTATGTAGGAAGCATGAAACATAAAATATATGGGAAAAGCTCATTCAAACATCCATTTTGTACTATGAGGAACAACCTCAAATTCACCCATCACTATGTGCTAGTGTTCACACATTACAACCTTCACTCTATTTTTATGAGATGTATGATCATTTTGACTGTCAGAGGCATGTTCATCAAACTTAACCAAGGTATTTATTTATTGTGTTTTCTTAATTCCAAATGAATATACCATCTCAGAAACAATAAGATATCATTGTACTATCTTTATAAAAAAAATGACCATTATTTAAGAGCTATAGCATAAAATAGTTGATGGTCATATGCCAAAGGTACTAAAGTTACTTGAAAGACTAAATACAAAGCCGAATGCAAGGCCATTTTGGTCATCTCTTCCTTAAATTGTGAAGTACAATCCAGAGTAGTTCTCAAATCTGTCACTGGGATAACTGGATTGTGGCAAGTGCTGAGCACCCATACCATAGCATTCCTTATAGTCAAATATGGGTTGGCTCTGCTTTGGCACCACTAACTCTGGCCCAAACAATATCCCCACTGTAAATTTTAGGCTTGCAAGTCGGTGCAAAGTTCTGAAGCAGATTTACTGATAGTAGGCCAGTTGGTCCATATAAGTATCTAAATCTTTGGTTTGAATTACACATGTAAAATGCATTTATCACCAACTGTTGCAGTTCCTAATTTGGACAAAGAAGTTATTCATATTTTACTGTCTTTATCCTATGAATCTAATTCTATTTCTACCCATATCTATATGCACCTATGGAAACATGTTTTTTTTATGTTTCTAAGAACACATGTCATCATCTCTTATACTGCAAGTCTACAACTAGATTATTGATGTGTTAAAGGCCTCTTAGATTATGCTTACTTTGGAATTCTTTCCCTGCAATTTGAATTTTGTACATTCTGTTTACCTATAAAAACAGTTTGTAATCCATTATTGTCAACTGATCACAGAGGCAAAAATCTTCAGTTTAGTTAGTTAACTACCCATTACTTTATGGTTAGTATATGCATATCTTTGGACATGTCATCTTGCTGAATTTTGCGGTTTTTTAAAGAAGTATTTCTAACAATTGATAAAGATATGTGACAGAACTTGATGTTGCATCAACTCTCCCTTCTTACTGTCCTAGCACACTTACTAACACTCAATAGATCATGATTTATACATTACTTCACAACTTGGAAAATTGTAGGATCACTAGGAGATCAATGAATTCTCATTTTTCTTCCAAAAAAACTCAATTTTTTCCTATATCATCTTTTCTTTGCATCTTTTTATGGTATCCCATATCCCGATCTGTTAATGCAGTGACATCAGTCATTATATTTGAAGTACTCTTTTTTTCTTGTGAGAACCTAATAGAATGTTATTGTTGTTGAAAACTTTGCATAGAATGGTTAACAGTTTGGACTTCTATATTGTATTTAGTCTACAGATTCCTAGATGCTCGACTCGTGATTCATGTAGCTATATGAAATTGATATATCAATATATTGCTATCTAAGTGAAAGAGAAACATATCCACATGAAAACTAACTAAAACTTCATTTTGGCAGGGAGAGTAACTCCAGAAAGTGTCATATATAGCTTTGGTACTGTCCTCCTGGATCTTCTTAGTGGAAAGCGCATCCCTCCAAGTCATGTAATTATTTTGTATTCCTATAGGACACATCTTTTATTTAATATGCGGTTCCATTTTTAAGTTTTTATGGATTTTTTTTTCCTTTGTTTGCTTTCAGGCATTAGTATATGAAATTTCTGCAAGCCTGTTGATTAATACTGTTGCATCTGTTATTGCATATTATGAAATGTCTCCTTCGAGAATATGGGAAAAATATCAACCACCGTAGACTTAAGATTAACGAAGTCTTCCGATAGGATTGTTTGTGTTAAAACTTAAAACATATGTTGGGTCCTTTCCTAACATTTTACGTTTTTGAGATTTGTAGTTATTGGATCAAACTTTTGGTGGTGTCAGAACAAATCATGAGTTCGAATCCTGTATCTATTCCCTTTAAATGGTATCAGACCAGAACATGAGTTCGAATCTTGCATCTCTCTTTTCCCAGTATTTAATTAGAAATATTTGTGCATTACCCAATAGAGTTTGATGTTCATAACTTCATATGTACACGATATATTGGCAAACCTATACAAGAAAACACAGAATCTTGTACCATATATAGGTTGAAATTTTTAGCAATAGAGAGAGATTCTAAATGTAGAAAAGCAGAAAAACTAGTGAACATCTATTGTTAGATCTTACCATGGGTATTTAAGGGCAAGAGGACTGGTAAAATTTTCTTAGGTATTTGCAAGGAAGGTTTAAGATGAGTCTGTTAGACGTTGGTTGGTAAGAGTTCAATAAAGGTTATGAGAAACATATTGGAACATTAACAAACTTCTTCAACATCTAAGGCATTAGTAGATTATATGAGGCAGCTGAACTTAATATTTTACATCAAAAGTCCAATTGTTCCCTTGTATATTTGTTCTAAATTATCTTTAAAGGAACTTGCACAAGAAAGAAGTCCTTAACTAATGCAGAGTAGGAAGTAAACGATTTTCTGTCACAAGGATGCATCACAATTGATTTGCAGTCCAGAATAGTGCTTTAGGAACCTTGTCGAAGGGAAAGTTGCAAGACCCTTGTTTTAGTTTAGTTGCTTCAAAAATTCTCTCGGATACTGGCTATAAAACTTGAAAAAAATATCATTGCATTGTGCTACATTCTGTATCACTGAATAGAAACAATTTGTGTAGTCTTTCATCTTGACTACTAAAGAATTTAAAATTGTGGTTCTATATGCTATATATTATTTAATTATGATGCAAGTGCTGCAAAGCCTTAAAAACTAAAGGTTAAGTAGGATTGAAATTGAATATATAAAACATAATTTTCATGATTTTAGAAATAGACAAGAAAATATCGTTAAGTTGGATGGACAAGAAGTCCCTTTAAGTAAATGCTTTAGATATCTTGGATCAATTATTCAACAAGATGAAAAAATCGATGAAGATATTATTTATAGAATAAAAACATGATGGTTAAAATGGCGAGGGGCGTCGAGTGTCTTGTGTGATTATCGGATACCTTTGAGATTAAAAGAAAAAAATTATAAGGCAGTTGTGAGACTAACAATGCTTTATAGATTTGAGTGTTAGACAGTTCAAAAAAAACAAATACAAAAAGCTTGTGTTATCGAGATGAGAATGTTGAGATGGATATGTACTAAGAAAGATATGAAAAAAAATACTTTTATTCGTAAACAATTAAGTGTTACTTTGATAGAGAATAAGGTGGGAAAATCGTTTAAGATGGTATGAGTATATGCTAAGGAAACCTCTAGATGTGATAGTCAGAAGAAGTGAAATAATTAATGTTAATGATACGAGAAGAGGTAGAAGAAGACTTAAAAAGACTTTAATAGAAACTATAAATAAAGATTTAAGTATTCTGAACTTAACTAATCATATGGCTTTTTACGGATTTCAATGACAACAAAATATCCATGTAGCCGACCCTAAATAATTGGGACTTACGGTTTTGTTGTTGTTGTTGTTGAAGTGCTGCAAAGCCAATGGTTGTGATGGAATAGACCATGGGTTGTAGGACTCTGACAGAATGTCTTAGTGGAAGAAATTGGGTGGATTGATTGGAAAACAGCAAGATGAATTGTGCATGTTAATGATTCGGTGCCTGGTATGGTGACTATCAACGAGAATTGTATCTGGCAATAAGTCAAGCTTTTACCAGACTGTATTATACAGATAAAAGTTATGCACATACAAATATATGATTACTTTTGACTACCTAATGAGATTGAAATTCTTGCAGGCTCTTGACATGATAAGAGGTAAAAATATCTTAGTTTTGATGGATTCACACTTGGAGGGAAATTTCTCAACAGAAGAGGCAACTACACTGGTTGACCTTGCTTCTCAGTGCTTACAATTTGAACCTAGGGATCGACCTAACACAAAGAAGCTAGTGGCAACCCTTGGACCCTTGCAAACCAAATCAGAGGTATTGTCTTCCTTATGCTTCTGTTCATACCTGAATAGATGATTTGCTTTTCCTATCATTACTGTCTATAGATATAATTTTTTTCAATTGGACCATAGATTGAACATGAACTAAATTTTCTATAATTGTACTCGTATGATCTATTAAATGTTAATTCAAAAGAGCAACATATATTGTTATTACATTACTGATTGAGTTTAGTAAGAAATGAATTGGTATAATGTTAACTCAAAGATTCAACAGCTTCTAAGTATGGTATGATGAATCTGAATGAAGACCAGGAGCTGGTATTTTCCGCTTAAAAACTGAAGCTTGTGTTCTCATGTTATTTGCAAATTACTAGTCAATTTGTGTGATAGATGCTCACCTGTAGATTGTTGTTTTTGGAGAAAGACCAAGAGCTTTAAGAGAGGAGGTAATAAATAGTCATCATGGCACCTGATTAGGTAATCAACAGATCAATACACGAAGGTTCTTTTGTAAATGGGTTGGGTCTAAATGCAGGTTGATTTGGCAGTCATAGATCAGGATTGCCAGTTCTAACATGAGAATCAATTTTGAATGACTAAAAGTTTAGTGGTTTGATTATTGTATATTGAAGTACTGGAAAAAGCTTTTCTAGTTTTCTACTTATTATGCAGTGTTGGAACTTGAACGTTCATTTGAATCTTGTTCTGGTATGAAATAGTAAACTCTCATGCACAGGTGCCATCTCACACAATGTTGGGTGCTGAAATGCATGGAGAAGCCCCTCCGGCCCCTCAGCAGCCTTTTTCACGTATGGGTGAAGCATGCTCTAGAATGGACCTGACAGCCATCCATGAGATTTTAGTAATGACACACTACAGAGATGATGAAGTAACTAATGAGGTATTTACATTAATTTCAACAGCAGAGATGGATTTTGACTTTTAATGTTTAGTTTATAGTGAAATTTGCCTTAGTTTAGAGAGCAAACATGATGCATTGGTCTTTTTCCTTCTGTCATCAGCTATCATTTCAAGAGTGGACGCAACAGATGAGGGACATGCTGGAAGCGAGGAAGCGGGGGGATTTTGCTTTCCGTGACAAAGATTTTAAGACAGCAATCGAGTGTTACTCTCAGGTACTCTTATGCTACATGGTCAAAGATCTAGAATTGAGACAGAAAACCAATTCCAAGCAAAGGGGTAGACACAAGGCCTTTCGGAAAGAAAATCTAGTTCCCTGAGAAACTAAGATTCTCATAATCTTCGAGAAAACCGATGATATTTACGTAACTTAAGAATTTCTGCTATTTTCGTAGGTGATAATGAAACAATGAAGTTTTCTCTTGCAGTTCTTAGATGTGGGGACAATGGCCTCACCTACGGTGTACGCAAGGCGAAGCCTGTGCCATCTTATGTGTGATCAAGCTGATGCTGCTCTGCGAGACGCGATGCAGGCACAATGTCTTTACCCTGACTGGCCTACTGCATTCTACATGCAAGCAGTTGCCTTGGCCAAGCTGAACATGCAGAGTGATTCCCTGGACATGTTGCAGGAAGCAACCATGTTGGAGGAGAAGAGGCAAAAGAGTGGTAGAGGTCCATAATGCGGCTTTACATGTGGTGATTGGATCCTCTCTTCATGCCCTTGTTGTTGATGAGAAAGTGATCATTGTAGTAGCCTGGAAAATTGTATTATAGGAAAGGGTTTTGATTATATCGTTGCATTTACTTTTCCATTTCATGTGTATTCTCTTTTGCCCCTTCTGTATTGCCAATCAATCTAAACAGTGTTTATTTCTCTTCTTTTTCTGGTTTCATGAAAGAAAATATTTCAGTAATAAGACTTTTAAGGACCGACCTGATTGATTATGTATATTCGTAGAGACCCACTGGCCTGAATATATCAATATATAGATCGAATCTTTTATGGAATCCAAAAATCAAATAATAATCATCATGGGAAAACTTGAAATATCTCAACATATGCAAATTTATCATTAAAAAAATGATTCTTTTTATATAATTATGCAGCTTTGTCTTCTTCATTCTGTGGAGTTCTTTATAATTATTTGCAAAGACACATTGTCATTACATGGATGAGTTTTTGCTCTCTACGGATGACATTCTCGATTCCGATCGATGTGTGGGAAATGGAAGCAAGAGGAGAAGGGTGACGCGGGAATTCGATCCGAGGAAGAGGGGGGAGCTGGTGGTCGCAGTGGAGGGGAAGGAAAAGGGAGAGGGCGGGAAGGTGACGAGCGAGGTGGACGGCGACGGCGAGGGAGACGTAGAGGGCACAGCAGAACAAGAGCACCTTGCTGCGGCCGAGGTGCCACCCCGTCATGCCGAGAGACGCGAAGAGGACGACGCAGGCCGCCAGAGCGCGTATTTGCGCCGCCACCGCGGGCCCCATCATCGACGAGGGAGATCCTCTGCAACGGATTCCATAACTTACGATTTGAAATATACGGTCATGATCGATCCAAATAGCCTACTGCGCTTTAAACAGACATTGTTTGCTACCTGCCCATGTCTGACCCACAACTATACCTGCCTTATCATTGATTACAAGGTGGGCCCCTGTATAATTACAAAAAGAAGGAAGGAAAAATAAGACATAAGAAAAATACAAATAAGAAAGCCATTCGAAGCACAAATTCCTATTCATTAAAGACAAGATGGTAGAATATGCTTTGAGTTCGTATACATCAAGATTCGGCGGGTGAATTGGTACCGTCGGATCGGTGCTTGCTAGCCTTCACGGTATCTTGAACTAAACGAAGCAATCCCACACCAACATCTGACCGAGTCTATGAAGAAATCTTGATGTGAATAATAATTCACATCAAGATTTTACCAAAAAAAGATAATGTAAACATTTTAGGAAATCCTAGTTTGAGCAGGAAACTAGAATGTAATGGAATCCGAATCCCAGTCGAGGTGGTGTTTCCTATTTCAAACACCAGTCCGAGCCTATACATAGAACCCCATCCCCGACATTAGAGTCTGCGATTGTTTCCTCGCTTGCTTGCAGATTAGAGTGCGCTGTTGAAGAATTCTGGTAAGCGTCTTCTCCTCTTTTCCTTCTTGTTTAGTTTCTCTCTGCCTTTCTCTCTCTTTCTCTAGTTTTTTCCTTCATTGCACCGTCGAGTATTTGATAGATCACACTGCTTCGGATCACAGCGAACGAGATGGCGAAGAGAAGGTCGAGAACGTCGAAGCTGATTAAGACCAAGAAGGTGCAGCCCAAGCTGGAGGCGGCCTTCACCTGCCCCTTCTGCAACCACGACAAGAGCGTAAGTTGCACCTTGGATAAGAAGCTCAAGGTTGGTGAGGCGCAGTGCGGGGTCTGCAAAGAGAGCTACGCCACCACTATCCATCACCTGACGGAGCCCATCGACATATACAGCGAGTGGGTCGACGAATGTGAGATGATCAACGAGTCTGAAGAACTCCGTGTCGACGATCACCGCCCCACGGAGCCCATCGGCATATATACCGAGTGGGTCGACGAATGTGAGGAGGTCAACGAGTCCGAAAAACTCCGTGACGATACCCGCCCCTCCAAGAAAAGGCGTTCGGTTTGTTTGGATGATTGTGACATTTGAAATAGGCACTCCCAGGGAGCATATAGTCGATAGATCGCCTTTGTTAATGTCTCAAGAAAACGAAGTAAACCAGGCAGATCAGTTTCATGCAGCTATTTTTCGTTTTCTAGGTCACGGACTTTTGGGATGATCAGGTTGCCAGTCTTTGAGCAGTTCCTATTCCCCTGTCTTTGAGCATATGTAATTACAAATGAAAATATACAAGAATAAAATGCCATCCCCTCGTTGTGGCGAATGTTTTAGATGATCAAAGTCTCTTAGGAATTCTATCTGATGTTACTGTAAAGGTCGTTTCTACGATGTGGATGTACATAGTTACAGTATACATAGCTGCCAAGTGCTCCTCGAGTAGGAAAGCAAAAATGCTGGGTCTGCAAAGAGACCTACGCCACCACTATCGACCGCCATCGACGTATACAGCGACTGGCGAGAAGATCGTCGACGCTCCGAATAAAAGCGTGCAACTTTGATCAATCTATGTGTTATTGTCTCAGAAATACGAGGTAAATTAGACGGAAATCCGTTTCTTATGTCTTTCACGCACTATTATTAGATCCTGGATTGCCCCCCATATGTGTATCAGGTTGCAAAATGAAACCTGTCCTGCCTTGGAGCAATTCCTTTTTCTTCCTTCTTTCTGTTCTTGAAGAAGATGCACCATCACATGCTGAAACAGGTCATGTGAATATATACAGGAATAAAATGCCATCAAAATCATCTCCCTTGAAGTTGCTGCAAGTTCGATTTAATGATGTATATATCATTTCGTGTGTACATAGTTTGCTCATGGATCTCGCACTCTGTACTGCTTCTTCCTACTGTGATTTTGCAGCAGTACAGGCAGTGTCTAGTGATGCGTTGGAGATCGACTAAATCTGTAAAACCTTTGATTCGCATGGCGTGTAGTGTTGTCATGCTTAAAAGTTTCAGCAGTGTTTGATTTAGCTGCTAGTGGTCTTCCACTCGTTTGTTTCCTGGAGCATTTGGATTGTTGCAGAGCCATCGGTGTCCTCTCTCTCAACTTAATTGCAGACTATATGCATCGGCAACATTTTATTTACAGTATGGAGAAGAGCTCCGGAAATCAAAACAGAAAAGAGAGGTCATTTTATATTTCTTTTATGTACATGTAATGTTTCTCCTCTTGATCCATCATGAAAGAAAAGGCATGAGAGCAGCCTCGATCTCCCGTAGAACAATAGCAACGTCATTGTAGTGGATTCTTGCCAGCGGAACGCTTCTGGTCTTAACAGCACGATCCAGCTGCCAATTAAGACAAATAATTAAGAACAAAGAGCACTTGGAAATTATCAGTAAACTTGATCCAAGGGAAAGAGCTCCTACTTTCGCCAGGTAACGGGAGAGTCTGTTGGTGAGGTCGGTGAGAAGCTCCTTGCGTTCATCTTTTTCGTTTGAGATGAGCCGGTTGAGGTCGCAATACAAGAAGGTGGACTTGAGGCGAAGACTGTTTTCCATGAGCTTCCATTTGTTTTCGTTGACGTTGGTCAGATGTACCTCCAAGGTCAGCAGCTCAGAGCCGCAATTCCTGATCCTGTGGGCGCACCCCTTCGATTCCATTCCCTCCTCCCTTTGGTGTTCTTGCTCTTCACCTGAGAGTTGAAGACAATGAGTAGCTATCTCATTGATAAACCAAATCTGCAAGCAAAATGTCATCTAATCCTACAAGAATGATATCACCAAAAGTGATGATCCGAAGTCAACTATATGGAACCTCAGATGCATTATACAACATTATAATCAATACAAAAGACATGACCTTATACTACTAACATCAACAACTATATTATTAAACCTCTATTTATCTAGATCTAAAATCACAAAAGAATAAATTATTAAAATTTTAGGAATTTCAGAATAAAAATCTTAATCTCAAATAACATGAACTATTAATAAATGGGCATCTTACTGAAAAAAAAAAGAAAGCTTACACAATTGGTTTTTACCAAATAGCACCCCTCACATTTATTATTTTCATGGGGTCCTTTTTTCTTATTTGGATGAAAATACCCTCGATCTTTTACAAAAATGACTTGATCACAGACGCTATTAAAAAATATTAATAATTAATTATAATAAAATTCTCAAAAGATAGAATAAGTGATACCAATCAGCTTAGAATCACTATGACATTAGTATTTTTTTTGTATTTTAAAAATTTTTATGATAATTAAAATAGGAATTTTTTGAATAATATTTATGATCGAATCATTTAAGTAATAGTATGTGGACAATTTCATCTAAGAAGAAAAAAGAGCACCACCAGGTAAAATATCCTTAATAAATCATTAATATTGATTGTATGATCAAATAGGAAAGGGACTGCCGTATGATGAAAAGCCAATATACTGATTTTTTTTGGTAAAAGATCCTTATATTAATAAATCATTAATATAAATATATTAAAATAAATTTATAAAAAGAAAATTGTCTATTGATTATATAATAAAGTATGAAAGCATTCCACAATTCAAAATAAATTCCTACTGAATTCACAATGATATCAATGAAATCCTAATATCAAATATTATAAAATATATAAATCAATAAAATTGCATTCATTAAAACAAGTCTTAAATCAAAATCTCAATGAAAGATACTAAATTAGTTATCAAATAATCAAATACAAAACGATTCATAATTCAAAATAAATTTATGCTTCACAAATTCAAATCATCAGAAACTATAAAAAATCTTACAAAATCCCTCCTATCTTATATATGAATCTAATCTTATAATTCATCTACAGAAGTTTAAGAGTGTCATTACCTGTCTAGGAAATATCCTATTTCTCCTTCTACCTTACCTCCGACTTCGCACCCCATCATGATTTGAGAGGAGCAATGAATTCTTTATAGAGGAGGCCATCAGCTTTGTCTTTGCATCCTCTTGAATCAAGAAATCAAGAATTAGCTTAAAGTTATTAAAATATCCCTAATAAAATATGAGTACATTCCACCCCCTTACAAAAGAAAAAAGAAAAAAAAGATATGCTGCCTCCAAATTCATGAATCATACTTCCACTATATCACTCTATTCTCATATTTTTTTATTTCATCCAAAAGATATATATATATATATATATATATATATATATATATATATATATATATATATATATATATATATATATATATATATATATATATATATATATATATATATATAAAAATATATAT